ATTTATCTTTACTAAAATACAATATATAGACGAAAATTCCAAAGATATTGCGTGGAATTGAGAAGAAGAAAGAAAGAAGATAGTCTGCCATTAATGATAACAATCATCTTGGGTCTACTCCATTCTCTAAACTCGCCTTTTTCTTCGCGAACGTTGCTTAGCGCGATCCTCGGATCTCATCGGGCGAACCTCAATCTATTTATCTATATATATATATATATCGCATGGGTCGCCTAGTCGACCATTTCGTTCGAATCGAAATACGCTATCTCTCCCGCTGGCAATGGCAGAAACGAATTCTCGTAATCCCGTCAGACGTTCTCCGTCGAGCCGTTATTTAAAGCCGTCCAATGGGCATTCGATGAGCGAAGTTATAAGCCATAAAATAACTTTAGTTATATCTTAGTTCCAAAATACGAATTTCTTTTTCTTTTAGCTAAACGCAGTGTTTAATTCTTTAAACTTGACTTATGGGGGAAGTCGCTCAACGTTTTATTACCCTAACGTTTAAACAAAATTGTAACAAAAGTACTGAAGAGATCGGAATATTTCTATACTTAGATTAAACTTTGGTTCATTCGCAATAAAACAAAACAATACTTTTGCGAAAATAAACACACATTAAATTATTATTTAAATTAGATTTAAAACAAGTAGCTTTCGATACGATTTGGAGATCGGGTCGTTAAATTGTACCACCTGGTTCCTAAATCATACTTCTTTAGTAAACAAACTGACGTTGCTTATTGTTATTTTGATATTAAAATAACATCTATACCGTTAAAATGACGGTAAATAACGTCAGTTTGTTTTACTGGAAAAATAAATAAAAATTAATTTTAAACTCAATTATTAATAAATTTATTTTTAATTTTAAACTGAGTATACATATTTAAAAACGAGTAAATATGATATATAATCGGCCAAATGACGGTCAAGAGCAGGATTTTGGTTGCTAATATAATGTGTGAATTTTATTTACCACGTATGTAGTCCCCTAAATCGCGTGCCGAAATTTTTTCAGACTTATTTTTCTCAGATTTCGATTTATCATTAATTTAACATCATTAATTTTACATCATTAAATTTTAATATGTCTTTTAACATATTATTAAGATCCAATAAGATGCTATAAGCATCAAAAATTGTTAGATTGCTTGTGTCAATTTAACTAAAGTAATATTACTACGGTAGTTGATTAGAGTTGCGTTGTAAGTCTGAAAGAATTTCGGCACACTCTCTTTATGTGTCCTTCTCCTTTTTTCTTTTTCGCTCTGATATATTTATATTAGATATATTTAAAATTTGCTATACTTGTAAGACGTATAGATGCTTGTAAGACGACATTGTGTGAGAAACTTTCTTAGCGAAACTTTCAAATCAGAATCAGCGTATAATTTTTCGTCAACTTTGTTTCGCATCAATCGATCGTGACGTTTTGCTTCGATCTGTATGTCGCTAAATGCACGTCGTTTTCTGCTCACGGCACGCATTTTACACAGTCATACAGGTTCCCGAGGCGATTTCCAATCTGTGATCAAGCGCCGGTCCATTTGCAACTTGATGGAGATATTCTGGATTCGAATTGGCGTGTTGTTCCGATCTATCCTTTTTTCGTGCGAATTTTTTGACGTTGAGAATTCGTTATAATAAAAATCCCTCCCGCCGTTCAATATTCGCAGAATATGTTCGCCGAAGAGAAAATTTCATTATTGCTTTTCGATGTAATCATGTTCAGAGTATGTGGGTCAAATATGTTATAAAGGTATGATCTCTCGAAGCACAAATGTTAATACGTGGACAGTGCTTAAATGTAGAGCTTTTTTAGTTCATTCCGAGATCGCACTACTTGCTCACATAGCACATTTTATTCGATGAACGTCTTTAGAACATAATAACATTTATTGAACGTTTTAAAAGAATTTTTCTTTGAGATTTTTTTTGTGTTGCATGCGTCAGTTTTCGATGTTCTATTGTGGTATTGCTTGTCAGATCTTGTAACATTTCTGAGATCTTTGTAATGTTCTTTCGACGTACAAATTAAAAAACTTTATTCTATTATCAACAGCAAATGCTCATGATCGTTTATTAATCCTCTGCGCCTTGAAGTACACCTTTGATAATTATTTCAGTATTCTTAATTGATGTGTGTGTGTGTGTGTGTGTGTGTGTGTGTGTGTATGTGTATTTTATCTATAATGTACTTTCTATAAATATTTGAACTTTATAGAACAGCTATTAGTATCGATTAAGACATTTAATATAAATACATCATGGATTATTAAATTTATTAACAAAAGGGACAAGTAGATTATTGATTAACCTTCTAACTTATTAAAAATTCATAAGAATTTTTTCTACATATTTTATATTTATTAAATTTTTTTCTAAGCGATTATTTTTTTTAATTTAATATTTTTTAAATCGATCATCTAATTGATCAATTTATGATATATAATGGCTTTGATTTCGCGTGTTTTATAATTTATAAGTTTATTTTATCGGCATAACCAATCAAACGTAATTCATAAAAATTACATTTGATCGGTTATGCCATATCGAGTATATTTAAATCGCGACATCGTGTATGTAAGTCGATCACAGAGTTTTAATCGCTCTGTGCGCGATTATAAGCGAACGCGTTATATGTTCCGGACACGTGTAAGGCTACATTCTCGCGTGCAATAACCCAGAGATCGATCGGCGATCTGCAGAGCTGCCGAGAGATCTATCGCGGCGAGAAGGGTGAAATTCGGCAAGGAACGAGCGGATTAATCGCGATAATTCCGCCCGAACGACGCCGAGATTCGCCGAGAAATTAAAACTTTCGTGAGGACCCGTTATCGCCCTTTCGCACCAACTTCCTGTCGGGTGCACGCACGGGCGTGTATCGAATCGCCGTCATTCACGCGATCAGCCTTTCTTGCTGTTTTAAAGACCCTCAAGAAGGTCTTACAAACTTTGGAACATTTCTACACGTAATGCAAATACGATAAAGACTTAAAAGTTGACCCAATATTCACATGCTTCACAAATTACAAAGAAATAGCCATAAAATACAAATTCAACAGGAAGAGATTATATCACATTGTTAAGACGTATTACAAATTTGAACCGGATATTACATTCGTCATTCGGTACTTTAATGCACGATATTATAAACTTTCAAAGTAATAGCAATTTACAAGTGTCTTACAACGAGTAAATAGAGCAGACTAAATTGAATCCAAAAGTTCCGTACCATTTTATGATTTTCGTAATAATTAATGAAATAACAATATAAATTCATTAATGTTGTCAAAATTTGTTTTAAAAAGTGAAATAAAATTATTAAAAAATTTTTTTTATAGTAAAAAGTTTACACTAAATATAACAATATATATAAGCATTTATACATTTAACAAATTTATAGGACTGAGATAATCTTGGATACGTAAATAAAAAAAGGTTGTATGAAATAATAATAAATAATAAAAAGGTTCTCGAATAAGCAGTCATTTACGTAAAGAAACAGCTTTTACAAATTTACAGTGTTTGCGGTTACTAGGAGTTCGGCAAAATGCTTTGAAGAGACTGGCCATAAGAGAATCACTTTTGTTTGGCTCGACGTTTTTCATCAATTTGTATTAGAGCAATGTAGTAATTTTTTCTTTCTCATACACGACCTCCATATATACTGGAATGAGTTTTTAAGTGCAGATGGTGACTAACTGCAAAAGTGATAGCTATGCAAGTTTTAATATACTATATCGAAGCGAGAGAGGTAAACGTCTCCAACTCGCATAGCATGCACTCTTGCACAGTTCTCCACACGTTGGCATAGCAAAGGCTTACTCCAATATGTACATGTATATATAGTTTACTACTCCCACTGTAGAACAAGATAACATGTCTTATCTCACTTGCAGGATGTTGCCACGATAGATGATACGCTCTTATGGCCAGTCTCTGATTAGAGGATCTCTATTTAGAGATGTGCTGTATGAACGGTATTGGCTTCGCAGAAGCGGCAATATGTAAATTGTTATGTCATTTGTAAAGCACATCTTCAAACACACTACACACACACACATCTCGTCGTGATTCTAACAATCATAAACGCATGTAAAGCTATAAGCTTGTTTAAGGATGCATATTTATTCATTGATTATTACCTCATTAAAATCCTTCAAAAATATTATCAAATTGATCAAAAGTTGATTAACTTTATATAATAAGAAAAATAAAGCAAATCGAACTTTTTTTAATAATCTTGACTAAAATATCAAACTCACTAAAAAATTCGGTATACAATTTGAATAAATTTGATGCCTTTGTGATGAATTTGTGATGTATAAATTTTTATATAAAATATTTGAAACAATGTAATTGTTACTCTCTTGCGTACAGTATAAAGTATGTACTGTTCTGCGTTGAGGTATTAAAATCACACATTCCCCGCAAGCAATTACTTTAAATACACCATGCACACATAATGTAAGATTAATTATGCAAAAATGGTACTTTTCGATTCAGTTTAATCCGCTCTACTGCTTCACGCAAGTTATGAGACATCCTATATGTTAGATGTAGACAATATCATATTCAAAACATTCTGTCATCTATATTGAATAAAAAGGTACCTGTAGAGTAAGGTAATAAAAGATATAACGAAAAAAAAGTAAATACTTTTTCTTAAGTCTTTTACAAATATTTTAGGTCAATATATATATACGTTATAATGCATAAAGTTTAACATTTTTTTAAATGCAGCGCTTATAAAGCGTCGCATTAAGTTCAGAATACCTTAACGTAGTTTTTAAAAAAGTAATGATCAAAAGCTCTATTTACTCGAGGCTTTGAAAAAGGTAATAAGTGGAATAATAAAATTCTGTTTCTCTCGAGTATGTGTTCCTTTGTTTCATGGTTTCTCAAAAATTTTGTGGCTTTATCTAGCTCTCGCACCAAGGTATTCAATTTTCTTCATGCAGTGCGAAAAAGTCCATTCGAGATTCGCTTACCTTGACGCGCAGCAGGTGTTGCAGACTTTGAGCCTGGCTGCTATTTAAGGGTGGATTGTCGGTCCCGAGCCGTGCCACTGCAATCACGTTTTCTCGGGTCGCGTTATACAAGAAGAGTGTGCATACTGTCTGTAAATGAAAGACGGGAGAGTTGATTCAAGGAGGTAGATACGTAGGTACGCTGGCGCGCCATGGCTACAATTATGGCGACTTTATTAAATTCCGCGCAACTCGATTTAGTTTTTAATCGACGCACAGTTTGACGAGCGATTACATTTCTTATTGACATTTCTCATTATCTGGATTTCACGCGCCGATCGGAGATGCTGCGCATTAATTGCATTCTGGGAATTTCACAGAACGCTCTCCTTCGCCGCCGAAACGACGCGGGATGTAATAAACCTCGGAATAACCGACTAATTTTAAATTCTTTTCTGGGTCATTGAATTTGTGGCAAATTGTGCCAAGACAATCTCTTGATTTTGGAATTTGATCGAAATTTCCATCGAGCCGTAAGCCGCGCGTACGGTGTTAATCAAGGAGTGACAATTTCAAAGTGTTATCTAATCGAGATTATAACGATCAATAGGAACAATGTTCCGGCAACGCCTCACCTGATTATTGACTTCCTTTCTCATGAAATTATCGAGAGATGACACCGCGTCCAGCACGGTCACATTGTTGTACTGCTTCAATAAGGTCTCGTCCTTCTCGCTGTATCCCAGGAACATGAAAACCCCGTGCGGTATACTATATGTCTCTGTACAAATAACACAATGCTGGTATTATATGGCGAGAAGAGAAATCGTTTTCTGTCGGATTACTCGAAAATCATCGTAAAATCAAACTCATGGTCGAATTCAGTAGAAAGAAAGACATTTATTAAACGTTTAAGTGAACATATAAAATGTAATAGCCTTATTTTATACTAATATAAACATATTTTCTTTGAATATTTATTGAATTGCTTATTATATAAACATTCGTAATTTGCCAGAATAAAAAATTTTTCTTAACAAAGTAAAATGTAGGATAAAATATTCCTACAAAACTTCAATACATTAATTTATTTTTATGATAAAATTATAATCGCATAATCATACTTATATAGCTTACAAAAATAGCGTTTAAGGTTATACTGGTTTGCAGAGAGTTCAAAGTGCTGTGCTAAATGATCGACTTTAATTTAATCGCATGATAGTTATGAAAGAGATTATTATACTCACCGGGCGAAGGCCGCATGCATATAAAGCCGCCGCTGTAGCAAAGGCAAGGACCTCGATGCGCTTGGTAGGCTGGCGCTTCATGATTGTAGAAAGCAAAATCCGTCTTACAGGGTAACGTTTCGATGCACAAGGTGTTGCACACGAGTTGCTCACCCTCAGCACAGACACACAATTCTGAGCATTCGGGCTCGTCTTCACGATAAAGCTGCGCAAGTAGAATACGTTGCAATCAATACTTATATCCACACACATATATACTATATATATATAATATTTTAAAAGTGCCGCAAGTGTGTAAACTGTTACTTATTAAGTGTATAAATAAGTTTTCGCAATGTTTTTCCGATGGAAACACCGTTTGTGGTTTACATTAAATCCACGTATTTTATGTAAACAATTGGGGAAATAAATTTTCCCCAAAGTTTCAACATGAATTTTACGTAGATTCTCTCTCTCTCTCTCTCTCTCTCTCTCTCTCTCTCTCTCTCTCTCTCTCTCTCTTCCGTATAGATTTTAATATACCTACATATATAATCCACGTAGAATTAATGATGAAATATAATGGGGATAAACTAAAAGATAGTAATGTACGGAATTCACGTGAATAAATTCACATCGATCTTTATTCTATGCAATCCATGTTGAAATTTTGATATTTTGATAACATATGTCATTCATGACATGTTATAGAGATATCATTTCAATAAATTTTTGTCCACATAATTTACATAAAATGCGTGAATTCAAAGTAGACACCACTAGTCTATCCTCATCGAAAATGTAAAAAAAATTAACGTTTATATAAAAATGTATCATACTATTTTGTGCTTTAAATTCCATTTCAAAGTTATGCTCACACGTTATAAAACATCTTATAGATAATGTTCTGACATATACTACTAGTACTAAAAATCTATCACGAAATCTATCTAATAGTAAAAATTAATTCGTGATTTTATTTTTAAGAGATGATCTTTCATTTTTTTTATTATTAAAAATACCTTTGTAATCAATTTTATTGAATATCGTGTCTAATCTTTGTTTCTTTATTTTGAAACAGCACTAGTTTTCAACCCGAGGATGTTATTAAAAAATTAATTTTAAAAAGATAAAATAAATGCTTTGAATATAAAACTTCCGAAATTTCTTATTAAAATAAAGAATTTGAGTGTGTGACATACCCTTGAAAGAATAAACTGTAGCACAACAAAATTTTTTGTGAAAAAGAAAATATGAGAAAATTTCGAAATAAAGCAAGAGGAAAAAGGAAATTTTTTTCATGAAAAGAAGGAAAATATCATACCGCGCGTGCGCTCTGATGGAAACTCTACTTTGAAAACTACAGAAATGGATCTATTTACATTTTGATACAATGAAAGTTAAAAATAAAAAAATGTTATTTAATTCAACGGATTGGGTTACCATTTCTTCTTTGATATCTGATAGTGTAAGTTTCATAAAATATTCTGGTTGCTTCAGTGACGGTTTTATCCACGATAAAAATAGTGAAACATGCAAACGTACACCTTCCTAGTGTTCATTTGTAATTAAATAAAAAAATATTAATTTTCTAACTACAAATTGTTGTATCAAATTCAAAATATAGGTTAGTCAATTTTACTAATTGAAAAATAATTGTGCACGAAAATTTAAATACGCATTTGTGTGTGTTAGCATTATTTAAAGTCATCCTAAAAATATACTTATTTGTACACCCAGTATAGTGAGTATACAATATAAAGAACATATAAAAGGAATAACGTACTACATACATATGAGTGCATTTTTACGTTTAGAATTAGTAATAACGTAATAATAGTATAATAATAAAATTTTAACGTTTCATTGCTTCGTATGTAAAACTATGACGTCACAAGTATGTTCTTATATGTAATAATAATAATAAAAGCAGGTTTCTTTCATTTGCAATACATTTTAATTTTTGTTGTAACGTTTTAATAAATCATTTTTCGATCTATAATTATATAACGATTTTCTCTTTTACAGATTTTTAATTACAGAATGTATTGGCACATTTTAGCCATTAAAATTAGAACAACCACAGTATGTGATACTAATTTTATCGTCTAAATATCCACATTTTAAATTATTATAACAAAGAATTACATTTTATCTACACATTTTCTTCAAGGGACAATTATCATTTAATTCATATTAATTAACAAATTTATAATCAAAAATAGAATCTATTAAAAATATAAAAAATATTAACATTGTCATATGTATTTCTCTTGAAATAATTAATTAAGGCTCTTTAGCTTATTTTTAGAATTAAGGAAATCTCACATCAATAAGAAGAGCTAAAGAGATACGTCGCGAAGTCATGAAGAAGTCGTGGGCGATTTCCTGTCTCTTCCCTTTTCCTTCCGTTTCTTTACGGTAAAAATTCACTACTGTGCACTGTGCAGTAAATATCTGATTTTCGCTGACACTCTCGCCCACGCTTTCCGATATGACGTTCACGAAAAGGTTTCACAAAACCCTTTTCCTTTTTTGTCTTGCGAGTATCGGCTCTCGAAGGTGGTGGCGGTGAGCGCTTTGCGTCGCGACGGCGCGGCGATCGCGAGAGACTTGGGAGATTGCGAGCGACTTACCCTTTTGCCCTTGCCTTCCCTTATGTATTGCTGACTGTGTGCATTCGACCTTTGAACCACGCAGAAGCCTACAAAGAAAGTGACGTGAGAAGCTGTCTTTTTCGCCAGTTTATTTTTCAGTCCTTTATAAAACTCTTTTTCCATCGTGTCTCGCCCGGAGGCGATCTATCTAATTTGCTTCTCGATGCGGCAGACGAAAGAGAGATTAAAAATTCTTTCTTTTTTTTTCAAGCTACTGGTAAATAAACGGAGTTTTATTTACAAAAAATGTAATAAACGAAGTTTTATTTATAGAAAAAAATCAATTTGCATTAAATTAAAAAATAATGATATATAAGATGTAGAATGTATAAGACATATAAAAAAAGAAATTAGAAAAACAAAAGAATTTCGAAATTTGAAAAATGAAATAATATCTACTGAAAGATTGGCATTATGAAACTATGACGATATAAACAAACCTTGGCATTATAGTAAAATTTAATACAGTAAACTTTTAAAGATTGCATGATAAAGAAATCTAATTTTCACAGTATTAAATATATAATAACCATTCAGGTTCCAGATGAAATTGATGTTACGATAAAATCTACGAGAAACAAGTTTATATTGCATACAGATTTGTATTTCAAAGTTTAATTTGTGTAAAGATCGTCTATTTTTTAGTGTTAGCGCTATTTGAATATTTCCGTACTCCTAAAAATCAAACTGAAAGAGTAGTTAATAACTTTTGTCAACAAAATGGCCGATATAATCCCGAGAGAATCAGGGGATATTACGTAACAAATACATTACGTATACTAATTATATTACGTGCGGCAAATTATAATAATTATACTACATAGAAAATTAATAATCATTGAATACGTTTGTACTCGATCCACTCACGTGGTGTCGGCGTGGTGGTTGTGGTGGTACTCGGAGTGGTGCTTATCGTGGTGGTTGTGATTTCCCAAGTTTCCGTGGGTTCGGTGGTCGGCCACCTCGTCACTTCCGGTATTTGGTTATCTTCCACTTGTTCGACCGCGGTGGTCGCCACCGTGCTTGCCGGTGACCTTGTCGTTGACGCGACGGCCGCCGTCGTTGTTGTCTTTGCTGTTGTCGTTCGCGAATGATGGTGCTTTCTACGCGCGTGGTAGTCCTTCTGCGATTCCACTATAATCAGAATAACCCTCTCAAAACGTTGTAAAAACGAAATCGAATAGGGGATACGGTTCAATTCACGCTCACGATGCTCTTGGAATCGTTTCAATCTTGTTGCTGTCAAATGAGAATAAGTTCTCGTGTGCATTGTGAATGTGAGTCAAACCACAGTCTGAGAGTTACATCGAAAGGTTACATTCTGTAGTATCTGGCGCTAGTTTTTAGTTATGCTAGTAATACAGTATGTTATATACGATGGCGCCACACATGTGTGTTTCCTATCTAACAAGTAAGATTTCAATTCTGATTTACTGTTACTTATAACGACTACTTTGGTATCTGTGTGTTCACGTTATAATGGCTGCGTTCAGCAAAGAAAGCAGCTTTACAATTGTTGTAAAATTCTTTAATTGGTCTTGCCTTTACTTCCTTATTAGATCGAAATGTATAAGCCAATCATATTCAAGAATTTTACAACAGTTACAAAGCTGCTTTTTTGTTGAACAGCAACTGTTGTAAAATTCTTTAATTGGCCTTGCCTCTACTTCCTTATTAGATCGAAATGTATAAGTCAATCATATTCAAGAATTTTACAACAGTTACAAAGCTGCTTTTTTGTTGAACGCAGCCAATTTTATTGTCATTATTAATAAATATTTCATTTACATCGGTTGATCACCTCAATCTTTAATTCCCTCGGAACATCTCTCATACATTCAACATATGAATAGCAAATATTCGCGATTGCTAGTAGACAACACAAATTTGAAAAATTGTAAAAAATAATCATATGTTGTAATATAGATATAGGCATAGTTTTAAATTCGTTTTTTTAATTTATAATTAACATCCCCGTACATATATTTCCAATTTGTGAGAGCAACGAATATAAAATCATTAGTTAAGAAATGTTAATTGAGGTCTTTTGAATATTCCACTAGAAATTGGGTCTTCTGTGTACTCAGAGCACCAGGATTTTCTTTTAGAAGAAGTTTCCTCTTATGAGCATAATTTGACGAAAAGTTTGATAGCCGTTAGATTGTTTATGGAAGTCATTTGTGACGAGGTAATTCTAGTTTGTAGCAACAAAGACGATTATTACAATATGGATCAAATACAAAGGCAAAGGGACTTTTGGAATTAATGGATGCGAGCGTTTACGTAAGTCTTAAAAGATGTATTTTTGCGATACAATTATTTTAAATCGCATTATAAATATAATCGTTTTAATTTATACACTGGGGATAACAGTATGATCAAAACGTCTATTGTAATAAAAAAGACGTTTAATCTGAAAATGAGGTATTTATTTTTTATATTTATCATTAAACATGTATTTTAAATTTAAACGATTGAATAATTCTCCATAGAGTTCTATTGTAGTTTATAAAGATTGCTTCTGCGTTGGCTTGCATGCTCCTTGATTATTTTTATCGGTCATTCAGAAAGCCTTTGTCGTCTAAATTTATTGTTTCATGACTACTAATTGCAGAACTTCTTCGCAGAAAATTATTCACGATTCTATGTTTTACGATTACCCATGCTGGGATGTGCTTTCACTTTCTTTCCGTCATAACTTATAACATTTCACGGCACAATAATAAAAACAAAAAAACTGCCGACTTGAATCGGCATCGTCGCCTCGGAGTAACTTGGGCTTAATACTTTCTCTCTCACTGTCGTGCCGCCTACCAGAAAACGGACGTGTGGCCGCAAATAACAACCGCTAAGCAATATAAAGTGCCGAACGGAGAGCCTGTAAAATTGCAGTTGAATGTACACGTGTAGTCATCCGACGCAGAAGTATGAAAGTATCGGGAAAGTCGCCCGGTCCCGTATCGCCGGCGGCGCAGCTGCTGTGAAATATTTCAGCCTCCGAGGGGCTCCGGGGTGATTACACTTTCAAGGGGCACCGCACGCCTCTCCTCTCATGAGACGCGTACAGCAATAATAGGGAACGTAAGATGCGCGTAATAATATTTTACGAGCTGCAGCGACGACTGCAGCTTTTATTTCCGCGGAATAGATTATTACATTTATCGGCATTTATAAATACGCCACAAAACCGCGATGACTCAGCTTTTTTATTTTAAATTAAATCGCGTGCATCTCAATAATATTTACAATATCTTAAAGATTTAATTACACATTGTATTTGTGTGTGTCTAATGTCAAATTTACACTAAAAATAAGGCATTTTTTAAATATTTATTATTAAACATATATTTTATATATATATATATAAACAATTGATTAACTAATTCTTCTTATCTCTGGGACAATTTAAAAACGAATGATACAGGGAAAAGATTAGATTAGCGATATGGCGATCTGTGCAACTACATGGTGATGCCATGCGCAGAATTACAATTACATTGGTCGAACAAACGACACAGATTAGCTCTTATCGATCTTTCACGACCCCGTCGAGTTGTAAAGCATGGCAAATGCAATGGACTGCATTCAGTCGGTAGATAAGTCATTTAGATACGAAGAAATTGCATCTCCTACTGCGTTTTAGAAGTGTATCATGCCGAGCGCATCGGCAAAATATCATAGAGCTCTGTCTGTTCTAATTATGCACCACAATGTTTATATATTCGGTGACCTAACAGAAATTAGTACTGGAGTAAATTCTCTAGTAACTTTCCAGTCGAATTTTTGTAACTTTTAAATTTGTAATTGAACATCTTAGTAAATCAGAAGTTGATTATAATTGTAAAAGTTAAAATCATTTTAATTAAAAAATAAACTTCTGTTAATCAATTTTTCCGTATTTTATTCTAATCTATTGAAATGTTCGACAAAATAATAAGTCCGAAAATTACAAACTCTATTAGATTAAAATTGTTAATATAATAGATATATTTCATTACTTAATATTTTATATTCACTTGCAACAAATAATAACAAATAAATATATGATTTATGTGTAGTAAACAAAATGCAAAAAAAATTTATTACAAAATGCCGTTTAATGAAAAACGGAATACCGTCACATCGTTCTTCATGCTGATAGAATTGTGTGAGATAAACATTTGCGAAGATCGATCAAACATTGAAACAGTATATTATCAATCTATATTAATTAACATTCCAATACCAGATAGTGTGCAGCTTGCGATTATTTTTATTTAATTCGGATGATTCAATATCGATTTCGAGATTACTGCGTTTTTAAATAACTTGCTTGAAGTGTACCTGCTATTTCTAAAGTAGGTTAATTGTTTTAAAGAATAATAGTTATTTCTTTTGAAGAGTATTCTTTATTTTAACCTCAAAAAAGTAAACCAATAATGTTATATTGCTTTATTGTCTTTCATATATTTTTATCGTACTTTCACAAAGGAAAATTTTACAGTATCTCCTTGCACATATTTTCTATGACATACCTTTATTATATTCTGTAATTTTTTCCGTCTGTACCAGTTATCTATCAAAGAACAATGAATTGCTAAACTTAACTTTCCTAATCTACATTGTTGTTACCGAGTCTTCAACGCGAGTAATGAATGTCCCAGAATTTTCCGCTTACCTACGCAAGGATTCACCCAGAGAAGCCGCTGCCAACCCAGACAGCCGTACAGCTGGTTAAGCTCGGTGCCCTTACAAGCGCAATTAGTATGAAGTTCAGTACCCAGAATGCCCAGCATCGCTTTTCTGCACTCAGAGGTTGGTCCAGCACATTTCTTCGTCATGCTGTCGACCGCGCAACTCTGTTCGTAATACTCTAGTCTAAGTCTAGAAAAATAAAAATACCCCAGAATATTAATTACATAGGTAATCAATTAAATTTGGAGTGGCTCTTATATAGGAAATAAAATAAAAAATTCTTGAAATATTATATAGTTTGATTTACCTCTTTTAAAGTAAACTATATAATATTTCAAGAACTTTTTATTTTATTTCTTTTAGAAGAACTGCCGAAAAAACGCTTCAAATTATTACAAAAGATGTTGAATGCTATATAATGATCACTCGTAACTGGCGCAAAGATTGATATACGTATAGTTAAGTATATTTAGAAAATAAATAAAAATAAATTACGGGCTAGTGTGAGAGTTAAAATTGCGGTAATTCGTGCAAATTAAAAGTTTTATTTCAATATGAATACTTGTATAGACGTTTCGGCTACAATTCAAGCCATCTTCAGTAGTCCAAATTTTATACAAAACTTTCGTCGATGGCTGAGCAAGAAGTGACAAATTTATCTCCCAATTTTAACTCTCACTTGCCCGTAATTTATTTTTATTTATTTGACATTCTCGAGAGTTTATAATTTAGATTTGTTTTTATATTTAGAAAATTATTATACATGTATTGATAGATTAAAGCAGCACGATTTCGAATATGGCACAATTCTAAACGAAATAAGAGAGGAAATCTAATTTTCTAGGTTTAAATTGAACTTTTTCCTATTTGATAGTACTTTTTAGTATTCTTTACAGAACCGAGAGTTACTAAACTTTAACCTCAGAATTAGATTTAAACTTTATTCTGTTCAGAATTGTACTTTACGCTATTGTTCAAAACTGTATTTACGCTAATTTTTTAAATATAGAAATACATCAATGTTGAAGGAATTACATATTAATAATAAATATTTTTGCGCTAATTACATGTGATCATTGCTGCATTTGACATGCCAGTTTTAAAATAATGTCAAATGTATTATATATATTTATATACATTAAAAGAAAATTAATTCACTACGTCCCAGAAAGCAGATAGTATATATTTTACTATAATTTAATTTGTTATTTATTTCATTATTTCTTCTAAGTAAATAGAATGGAAAGATTGATGTTCGTATATTAATTAAACATGGACATTCATTAAAACATCAATAATCATCTGTAAGTATAAATGACAATGATGGTCCAACAAATTATTAAACATAAAACGGATTTAATTGACAAATTGATTGATTTTCAAGATAAATAATTATTTTAATTAAAAAGGTATTTACAAAAGTATCTTTGACATTAATAATCATAAGTGATGCTGTAACACTCATTGTATATCTGTGTGGTCGCTATATAGTGATATGTACTAGCTGATCAAAAGGACTAATATTGTAATAATGACCAATCGCGTTCATTGATGTTATTTTCATTGATCATATAGGAACTGTTAGTGTGGCAACTGATATAGCCAATAAATATATGCATATGATAAAACATGAGCTTCATTTCTACATAGAAGCATTTCAATTATATATAGTATTATAATTTAATTTTTTAATTATAATAAGTTGCATGATTATTCAAAATTGAGATATGCATATTTTTACTTATAAAAATATTATTTTGCAATTGTCTTTATTTATGTCTGCTTTATGAGTGGTAGAGAATAATGTCTAGTGTTTTAAATAATAAAAATAGAAGTACATAGTTTATTTTAAAATACTTTTCTTTCCTATAATTAGATTTAAAAACGTGCAAATTCAATTTCTATTCTAACGCAATTAAGATTTCTCAATAAAATCATTGTGTAGACCGTTAAGCTACGTTTGTATATTAACCATATTAGAAATCAAATGTACTTTCATTTATATTTAAAATAAAGGTAATGATGGAGTTGTTAATCAGTCAAACAGATGTCTAAATTCAAAAAGCATTGAAGTTCATTAGTGAAGTTTTTAACACAGTTTGCGTTGAATAAATAATAAACAGATAAACGTACAATGAATAACGTAAAAACTGTTACAACACATATACATATATAAATATAACAAAAGTTTTATTCTTTATATAACTTTTCATAAATCGTTTAAAATTACGAGATGTTATATTTTATACATTGCATTAAAAACTATATAAAATAAATATTCTAAGTCGATAAATCAATAAAAAAGATAATAATACTTTGTACTAACAATCAACTAGTTTAAATATTTAAAAATAAAAGAAACGTTATTAATAATTTAACCAATGATTTAATTAATCATAATAATCAGAGCATTGCATTGATTTTGCTAATTACGAATTCTACGATTTGCTTGCAAACGATATCGTTACTATAAAAACAAATAGGTGCATTCAACCAATCATTAAAAAAGTATTTAAACAAATGCTGTAGAGACACTTTGAAACGTGCAAATGCATTTTTACAAATTGTCTACAGCGCGTAGCAATTGTTCGTTTCCAAGAGTCACCTATAGACACCTCTAAATAGCAAAATTAAAAATGGATTCGTTCATCCTCGGCGATAAATCAATTAAAGCGTTGAATCGGGCCATGCATACGTACGTGCGTGCATGCACGCGTGTTTTAATTTAATCGATCAGCGACGCGCGTGCACACGCTCCATCGCTCACAATTGCACCTCCTTTTCGTTCATTTTAATCCCCCGTTACCCACGTTGTTTTTTTTTTTAACGTATTTATTAACGAGAAGTGCATTTTACTTCCGTACATAATATTTCAATTTTCGTTATATTGAGTTTGAAATTTTATTATTAAATAAGAGAGAGTTGATATAACTATATAATTTGTGACATATCCAATAACGAGAACGGTGAAAAATATACGATAAAAGTTTACAAACAATTTCGATAATTTCAATATTAATTAATTTTTTTACATTAAAAATGAAGTAAAAATTAAAATTCTTATACACAAATTCTAAATTTACATATACATATTGTAAGTATACTATCGTACTCTACAAAAAGAACTATTATTTCTTAGTATAATCACTGTGTTGTTCCTTGATTTTAAAAGCAACACAATTTAAAAAAAATAAGTGTTATTCATGAAAAGGAAAGTTTTTAATTTAAACAGATAATAATTACACTAATTTACAGTAAAGTTATTTCAAACCGAACAAAAAATTTCTTATTGATTTTTAGATGTTGAAAATGATACCTTTTAAGTCAAAATAATTCCAATACGTCAGGTCTCTTTTTGTTGGTATTATTTGACTAGTTAATAACTAATCAAATATTGACAAAAGAATACAATGAATGTAAAAAGTATACTTGTACAGAGAAAACCTTATTTTTAGAAAGTCAACATTAATTAACAATTTATTAGCAAAGAATGAAATTGTATATTTCTCTCAAAATTATTTGATCTAAAAAGATATAAAATAATTAAAATATTATTAGATATAAAATAATTAAAAAATTTAATTATCAATAACAATATTATTTAAATGCACAAAAAATGGTAATATGATCGAGAAATTGAGCTTCAAAGGTTACATTCCAAAACGTTTTCAACAATTTTATTCGAAATGAATATTATAGTAACAAATATATAATATACGTAACGTATACTATATTATAACGTGAAATATTTTCCTCGGAGAGAATGTTTCGGAATGTAAACTATAACCATGAATACGGTTATTTTTGCAAAACCTTTTTGTCTGTATTAGAACAAAACGTATTCATTTTTAATAAATAATTTAATTATAACCCTCCAGCACCACTTCGAAATGTTTGATCATAATTTACATTCTGAGCTGTTGAGGGAAACAGCATATATTTTTATGGTATACGCGATTTTAACTTTTTATTCTTTGTGTTTAATTAATATTCATATACTACTTTATACCTACATAAGACTTCATTAATAAAATTTTCAAGCAACACTTCATACATGATATTTTTCGATCAGGATGCTAAATCGGAATGTGCCCTCCGGAAGTTACCATTTTAAAAAGTAAATTGTTTGTCACACAAAGCGATGTCTCTTTACCTTTGTCCGCGTATTTTTTGTAAAACTCTTTGAAACGAACGAGAACCGTGCAATGGAAACGGGAACAAAATTGACACGTAAATAATAATGTCCAATTAGAACGACGCAATCTTATCTCGCTAAGTAAACCAAAGGAGCACCCGATTAAACACCGCAAACACGTCGTCCCTTATTTTTTCTCGCAGTTTTGCTGGAACTTTTTCAATTTTAAAGTTAAATCGCGATTCAACAAGATTTATACGCGCGCTAATGCAATATTTCCTCAGTCAAGAGGACGTCCATCCAGAGTGCGGGACTATGAAGGATGAAATGATATGTTCTTACCTTCCGAATTCGACAGCAATGTACATGAGTATCGCTTTAAATGAAACCACTTATGCGTTGAGAAAACTATTTTATTTCACAGAGATTTTATGTTTAACAGAATCTTCGTTAAAAAAAAAAAAAAAACAGAATTAACAGTTATTAAAAACCTTGTTATAAATCTTTAATTTGCAATCGGTTATGCAATTACGGCAAAATAATGATGTTGAAATAATTATATTTTTTAATATTAAGAACGTTTGATTTTAGAATATGTTTCTGTTTCGGTTAAATTTGCTACTCGTTCCTAGAGATTTCCTTTTCACACATTTCGCTCAACATTTCCACGCTTGCGCATGATCCGCTGTGTATGGATAGTTCATGTAGAAACATGCAAATTTTCAAAACCGTGAATATGACGCACTGCCTCACCTACAACTCCTGTTCTCTTTGCAAGTCTCGGCTAGACTGTGACACGTTGGCATTTCGGCGCCGTCTATGCGTTGCGCGCAAGTTGGATGCATTTTCTCTTGCGCTACTATGCACTCGTCCTTTTTGTTGTCCGTTTTCCTGCAATATGAAAAACATAGACGGATGTAATAAGGTTCAAGAAATTATTTAGAGAAGTAAAAGTTATAGAGAAGTAAAATTATTTAAAGCACACTTTTATTTATACGCGGAAGTAAACTCCAACAAAATTATGACTAATATTACAATATATTACCCAAAATAAAAAAATAATTAATGTTAAAAAAAATATTTTAACATAAAGTTTGCACTATATGTATAAATAATATAAACAGAAATTAAAATTTACTCCAGATTTGTTTATGGAATGAAGCGAGCAGCATAACGAAACAAATATTAAAATTATCATCATAATATTAAAAAAAATGATTATTTTATACAGCATTAATAATTATTATGCCAATAATTTTGAACCAATTAATAATGACCAATAATTTGAACGATAGCTTTATTAATTATATAACTTTTTACTTTCAGCTAAAAGAGCTAATCACTTTTTTGTATTACATTGAAATATGCGATACAGGAATGACAATATAGTAACAATTAATTCACGACTTTATTTTTTGATTATTATAATTTCTTGATTAGTATAATTCAAATACTATATAGTACTTATAATTAATGTTTCATTGAGAAATGGCAAACCGAAACATTATGGCGTAATTGGAAAAATTTGGATATAGCACACATTACTCGTTCTTTTAATCAAACGCATACTTTTTATTTATTTCTCTGTATTTTTTCCTATTCGGTTCTTATTTTAAAACAGATAAAAAGAGGATTCTATGAAAAAGACTGCCACAAGGATTTGTAGGATAAAAATAAGACGCGAAACGGAAGCGGAAAGTTTCCGCATTGTGTCGCAACCAAAAGCCACTTAAAAGTTAAAGTAGGCTCGTTAAAAAATACGAGCTTTTCGCGCAAGAGGAATATTACGGTTGCTTCGAGAATTTCGTCGAAGTTGTCATTGCGAGATCTCCACTCGCCTCTATTTGTCCCGCTTGATATTTGTTTTGAAAAAATTTGTGCGTGCAATTTCTGCAAATTAATTTCTCTCAATTGTAAGAGTGAAATACTTTTGCGGAAGAATGTAGTCATCATAAGATAAGATTAGAGTTATAATACGAAACATAAGCTATTCGAATCTTAAAGCATCTTAATTTTTTTGCTTCAAAAATTTGAATAACTAAAATTAAATATTTCAACTTTTAATATGGATGATCATTTTAAATGATATAAAATAAGTTGCTGGGTTATCTAAGACAATAAACAAATTATTATTAAATTATTACGAAGTAAAGTGCACTAAGAGGCCTCTTTATACGTTACGCATTTTTCCGTTGTCTATTTAAATAATTGCAATCCAGTAAAGAGTCAAGAGCAATGTGAATCGTCAGTTTAAAGATGTGTAACTCCACAACCAATACTAATATGTGTGTGGTAAAATTTTTCATATTTGTGTTCATAAATGTTTATAAGTATAAAATTTTTATAAATATAAAATTTCCATTATTTTTTTAATTACTTTTTAAAAATAAGTGATAGTAAAATTAACATCATTGTATCAAGTTATGTATACCACTGTATGCAAACGAGAGACTCGCAGAAAAATCTCTATAAATATATACTACTTATATAATCTCTATAAATGTAAAATAACCTTCTTAAATATTACAAGTTGCGGTAATGAGAATCGATAAATAAATTCTATCTCTATTAACTTGGAGCGTCTTTGGAAAGGGTAAACACCTAAAAGTTCATAGAGATCTTATCCTCATAGAGGATAAGAGATCTAAGATAGCGGAAGTGTTCAACAAACTACCATTCAGACTATCATTTTATTTTAAACATGTGGATGACATTTTGTTGGCTGCCCTTGAAAATGCATTAAAATACTTGAATGATATATTAGACGTTTTGAATTCATTATGAAAATATCTATAATTTGCCATTAAAGTAAAAAATAATAAACTAAATTTTTTAATGTATTGTTGATAAGAGATATGGATGCTATCATTTTTTATCTCTATCGTAAAACTAAATTTTTGAGAAGATATTTAAACCTCTACTCCGGCGAGGCTCAACTAGTCATATTTCGTATTATTTAAATTTATATTTAAATTTATATTCATAGCCTTATAGTATAATTATTAGATTATTAGGAAAAGATTAGATTTTATCAATGTAGCATTGTAATGGATAAAAATCGTAACATTATATATTTAATATTAAAACAAAATAATTTACAATTATATGTGATATACGGGCAATGAGAGCAATAAACAGCGCGATAATTTAAGCGCAAATTTTTCAATTTTTCAATTTAATTTTCAGGAATTCTACATTTAATGTTAATACAAACTTAAACGGTTCGGTTTCCTTCAAACTATCTTTAGCAGTCTACAGCAGTATTGTATACTACTAAAGATGGTTTGAAGGAAACCGAAACGTTCAAGTTTGTATTAACATCAAATGTAGAATTTCTGAAAATTCAATTGAAGAGTTGAAGAATTTGCGTTTAAATTATCGCGCTTATTGCCTATATATCACATATATAATTTTGAATTTCGAGAGCCCTATCGAATAATTATATTTTTTTGTTTAAAAAATAATTTAGTAATCACAAAAGTCCCGTCATTCCCTCACATCCTTGAGATTAAGATCTTTGATTACTTTTATGCAAAATTGTACTTATATATGGTAATGTAAATTAACTCTCTTCCGCCTCATGTTCCTCACCTTCTAATTTCTTGTGACATTTACTAACTTTGTTTTGAAGACCGTTTCCTAGCTTTAACTTTATTGCAACCGCGTTAAAAATTTAGTACAATAGAAAATTAGATTCTCGTTTTATTTAAATTTTAAAAAATATATAATAAAAGTTACATTCAATTTTTTTAACGTTTTTATCTTTCAAAATTTTAACCTGCATACATTATAAGTTTTTTTTTTATAAAGAACATCAAATATCTCGCATCTGTAGTAAGATACCGATAGAAGGAAATGCAGCTTATCATTACGTGAACTTAGTTTCTCATATTGCACCAAAAACAATCGATTGCAATCATGCGTCCCTTCCATTCTTTATTCATCTCTGCAATGCTCTGCATTGTGCCTATTATTACCTCCATCCGAGTTCAGCTGAATACATGACGCAGAGATCCATCGGGAACATGATCTGGCATTTCTGTCAGTTAAACGTGTTTGCGTTTTCTTTTTCGTTATATCGGTTGGTTCGGCAGCGCGTAACGCCGGATGCAATGTAACGGGCACTACTCGGCCATATCGGGAGAGGAGGAGGGGGGGGGGGACATTGTTTTGTGTAGCGATTCGGAGCTCCGGCTTCAATTGCCTGATATGCAGAATTTCGAAAAATTTTTCGCTGGCGTGAATGTGCGCGAGCGTAATTAGAATGCGAGTTAACAACGCGCGTCCTTCGATTAATTCCAAATTAATTTACGACGGGCGCCGACAGTTGATTCGTCATTTCGCGCTTGCAGCTGTGCGCCACTACTGTTACAATAATCCGTTATTAATTCACGTTACGTCGCGCATTGTGCCGCGGCATAGTCGCCTGCATAGCGTCTGCGTTAATATTTTAACGCGACTTTCTCACGACAATGGACAGCTAATTAAACATTCAACGCCGACAGAACGTAACCGAAAAGAACAATCGTTCCAGCGTAGTTATGTCGATAAAAATCTTTCTGCTGAAAAGAATGCTCTTAGCGAGAGACATGCGAACTTTCCAAACGATAAAGTATACTTTGCAATATGTGGCAGCCAGAAAAAAAAAGCAAAACGCTCAAATAAGTCTGTCTCTATTAAATAAAGGTATATAAAGAAAGAATATAATAAAGATAAGAAAAGAAAAGAATTGTTATAACAAGCTATACAATGAAACCTATAAATATCAGAAATATAATAGCAGCAGTTTACAAAATTTTGTACAAGAGTATATTACTTTCGATTTTGGAAATATAAAAAAGATTTTTTTTTCTAAAATAGGTATATCTTAAGAAATTAAAAAAAATTATTTTCTCTTTTCGTGCATTAAAAATTATATTGAATCTGTAGATTAGTGTAATAATATAATTAATCCTTTAGGTACTATACACGCCATTACATAATGGCATCCTTTTAATTTATTCTTTGAAACGAAACGCCCTTTTAATAGCTTCCCTAGAGACCTTTTGAAACAAAACACCACTACAGTAGCTATTTTATGCTTATGCTATATTTATTATGCTTCAATATATCTTGCCGCTATTAAATAAGAATGTTCTCAGTCGTTTTGATCTACATTTATTTTCTCGAAAGGACGTTCACGTTTCTTAATCGAATTGTATAATATGTATACAGGGATACGGAATCACCATCCTGCTTAACTATAGAATGAAAAGGCTAAAAACATTGCTGTCTATTTGATTAACCTGCAGAGGCAGAAGGCAATTTCCACGGAATGCTTGTGATTGGCGGTCTTGTAGAAGTGCTGCAACGCTTCCATGCACTCGTTCCTCGCACACGTCGTCGAGTCGCAGTGGTTCAGGACGGGTTCCAGCAGATTCTTACATTCCGGATCGTTTCTGAAGTAAACAAAAACGTTCCACGTATACTTTATCTTATCTGCAATGACTGGAGTCGATTACTACAACGAAAATTTGCGAACTTACTTGCAGGACGTGTAAGCATGATGGCACGTGCTGGATAAGATCAGTTTCACCGGCTGTTGTATCTTATCGATGTCTGACGTAGAGGACGGTGGCTCCATACCCACCTCTGCGAAACAAGCAACGTGTCAATGGATGGAAAGTGCTGATCCAATTATTTATAATTAGGAACAGCCTGCGACTTAACTTTTAAAAGATTACAGAGAAGTTATAATGTTTTTGATAATAGAGAAGAAATATTCTTTTAAGTTATACAAAATGCACTGTTTGAAATTTTTTGAAGTGCTAATTACAATTCTAGATGCAAAATTAAAAATGGCAAATTGAGTATGATATATTACAATTTACATTATTATCCAGGGACTTTTTTATTCTGAGCTAGAACTTCGCGTGCATAATAATATGTATTTCAGAATGAATTTATATACAGGTATCTATTATAGTTCTAGAAAATGTCGATCTTGAAACACAATCCGACTGAAATAATATTTTTCACAATAAAGGTCTGTCCTTTATTCCCATATTCTCTGAAATAGTGCAATAAGTTGAAGTGAAACAAACGTACATTTGTTTCGCTTTAGCTTACTGCACTGCAGTTCAAAGCGAATGCAGGAATAAAAAGACAGATCTTAAATTTTTTATCGTTACTTTCGTCAAATTTAAAGATGGCATTCATAAAGTTTGTTCTTATACTAATACTGTTTCTGGAATTCATTTATGGCATTTTTAAGGTCTTCATAAACAAATCAAAGAACTGTAGCATCTTAAGACATTATTTAAAACAATCTTGAAGTAAAAACAAATTATAAATACTGGTTAAAATTTGAAAATTAAGAATATAAAAAATTATCATAAATAGATTCAAAACATAAATTGTCACAAATATAGGTTTAAAATATAAAAAGTAACAATAAAAATAATTGTAAAACCATTACAGTTACAAAAAAAGATAATTGTTATCAGAGTCTGCTGCAAAAAAATTATTGTTACAAGTAACGAATTATTATCGATCCTTGATTTTATCAAGTAAAATTTTTCTCAGAGAAAACGTTTTGGAATGTAGTCCAGATATATAATATTTTATTTAATGCTTTTCTATTTTAATAAATTGAAAAGAGTCAGTTCGCGTGATGAATTAGAAATAGTACTTGATATCCAAAAGAGTAGAAGATACGATCGCAGGATCTATAATAATTTATCTCGACTCATAATGACAAATGTCTTATTTTAAATTTATATTGATCAAAATGTATGTATAAAAATAACAATGTAAGACATTCATTATAACCACTGAAACTTTTCCAATTAACGTCATGTAATGCAATTGTATATTAGACATTGTGCATTATTTGATAAATTTGTAAAAAGAATCATTTATCATGGATATATCTACTGTTTTACGCACGATGTTGAAGATTTTTCTAGCACAAATTGAAACGCAAGCTTCCACCATCGATTGATGCATCGAGGGATGCGTGTAGCGTTCTTTCTTCCTCGAAAGTGATCGATATCGGCATAGTTAAACATGGCAGCTTGAGTTCTTATCCATAATACACTGTTTACACAGTCACAGGGGAGACCCACTTTTCTTGCCGGTGGATACAAATAAATGATAAATCATCAACGTCACACCGAGGGCGTCGACGCACTGTAGAGCGATACTTATCGTTTCCTTTATTTCCAGCACCATAAGAATTATGAACCCATATCAGGACAAACAGGCAATTTCTCTTCATCATTTAAATGCAACGTTATTAAACCTCGAACTTTAGATTGAATTTGTTTAAGTCCTAAGATATATTATATCGAGTCTTATTATACGTATTTACATCAATTTTAAGTAGACATGTACTTCCTGTAACTGACATGTATTTTCCTATAAATTCTGAAAAATGGATGATGCAAAATATTCTCTCAAAGAAAACAATAAGTTATCCGTGGAAATCCTTGTTGGAAACATCCAGCTCTGTAACAGACTCAAATTCGACAAGCGATCGTCCGAGGGATTGATATCTACCCGATGACGAATGATCGCCATCATTAACCAACATCTTCTCTTCGATTGATGGATTCCACCGACGGAGTTAACGACCGCGAGGGGTATCCGTGAATATCGAGAAGGTAGAACGAGACTACTCAGACTACCTTTCCGGTATGAAGGGGAAAAAGGGTCTGGGATTCCCCATGAGAAGAGCCGCCCCACCAGACGACTGGCTATAAGTCAACCACCATGAAGAGCGTGGCTTCGACGCACTTTATTAAGACAAACGAGCGACCGCCTCTCCTGTATCCCTTCAGGGGCCTTTAATCGCACCCTTGAATCGTTCGTGAGTTATCTGTATACGTGTTTGTTAAGCTGAAAAAAAGAGATGTCTATGGCTGTTTAAAGTTTTAATAAAAGCATCAAGATATTGGAGATTATATAATATGTATGTATGAATGTGTGCGTGCGTGCGTGCGTGCATGTGTGTGTGTATGTGTGTGTCTGTGTATATTTCTTAGTGGCCAATCTTCCCAAATTAGGAGGGAGTTCCAAATTTTAACTCTTCGTTCCACTTTACGTGTCCTAATTTTTTTTCTAAATTAAGAACATGAAAAAAATAAAAATATATTATAAAAATATAATAAGTAAACAGCCAAAATAATAAGTGTGAAATATTATTTTCAACTAATACGTGAAGAATTTTTTATGATTTTTTTATTTAAAAACCCAAATATTATCAAATAATAAAATACAATATATTTATACGTTTTCTATGAATCACATGTTAAGTTATCGCAAATATCAAAGTCTGACAGGATTAAAACGATTCTAAACATTATCAAAGCATAAATCGAAATGCACTTAAGAATTTTCTATAAAATTCTATATACAGAACATCGATATCGCAAATTTTGGATACGATCGACGCATAGGAAGACGAGAACAATTTCAAACAGCAGTAACTGGAACTTATGTCACACCGGCTTCTCGAGATCGATGTCGAGCTCGCCTTCGCATCACGAAATATATCGGTCAGGTGAAGACCTTTTCAGTGACACAGGTGCGCGGATGCAGAAACTTGCTCGGCAAGTCGTTAGACTCTCAAACCAACGAGATCATTTGCTCATGGAAAATGGAAAACGGCTAAAACGCCACAAGTGAAACACGTACTTATTCTGTGCACAGCACTTATACTATAAATGGTGTCGAATACCCAACCAATAATGATTGAGTAACGTCCGCAATCAATGTCGATCAATGTTGAATTAGCATTGATTAGATATTAATCGAACTATTTCTGACTGGATAGAGAGTTCTCCTTTTTTTTCGTTTTTTTCTTCAGTAAAAAAATCTTAAAAATTAATTTAAAGAATGTTAAGTAATATGTGATAATTGATACAGTTAAAATATCAAAAATATAAAACAAACTAATTATTCCATAACAATTTAATTTTAATGTATGTGTGTGTGTGTCAATTATATTTTAAAACAAAAAAATGTATGAAAAAAATTTGTATGGTATCAACAAACTCGTTTTACTTTTAGAAAAATAAAATAAGTCACAGACTCTACTATGAGTCAGATATGTTACGTAGAAACATAGAATGATGAAACGTGACAGGAACTGTCAGGACATCCCAAACCTTGGCCACGTTACGATTTATATCCGGTTCCATGTTCCTGTGACATCCATTAAATTTCATTTATTACTAACTCAGAAATAACCAGAGTCGCGGAAACGTCTTCGCGCACGTTGTGATTTCGCGCCGTGCTTCGCAAAGTTGACGGGGATCGCCAGTTAACGAAATTTACGAAATTGCAAGTTTAACGTTGACGCTCGTGACTTGTCTATCCGTGTTGCACATATCAGTTTGACGTTGAACTGGCGAAATATAGCGACCTTACACGATACCGACGATTAAATACGGTTCTTAAAAAAAGGATCAAGATTCACGAGATAATTCACTTCTTTATTCGTCGCTAGACGAATTCAAAACCGCTAATTTCTATTCGCAGCGGCTAATTCGCGAGTTTTCGATGTTGAACTGGACGAAATCGGCTGAAATTTATAACACTGTAACAAACTCCGCGAATGAATTCACCGAGCACGAAATTTGCCTCGTGGTTATTCTCCGCGTTTTAACGAATGATTCAACCATGTCGGCTGGTTGGAAAGCTCTCATCATACGCGCCCGTTTCCGGATTAAATATTAAACATACGATGTAAAAATTAAATAAGATACATTGCCCCTGAAATAAGTCACCTGTGAATGTAATTTTAACAGATAGTCTGACGATGGTAATTCGATAAAACTTACGATTTTTCTCAAAACGATTTTTCATGCTAGTAATTTCTATATCTGCGTCATTAGAAATTTCACTTACAATTAGTACAATATTTTATTACAGAAATTGAATTAAGATTAAATAAAATTTTATTACATTTTACAATATATACAAAAAGTTTCTTAAATGTATTAATTTAATAGACGTAATCATTAATTTTAACCAAGTATAAGTACAATCACAATTACAGAAAGAGAGAAATATTTTAACAAAAAATAAAATGAAAACACTTTTTCTATTTATTTCAAATTGTACAATATAACATTTAGCAAATATATATAATGTAATATTTAGCCTTTTTTAATGAAATTGAAATGTGGCTAACTGAGCTATTCTGATATGTAAAATAAAAATACAGATAATGTACAATCCATCAAACGTGACAATTGATAAATGAGCGAACGTGCTAATTAATCATTAGCCCGGGTACCGTAGGGTAGTCTTCCGATTTTATCCGCTATTTATATATATTTCAAACCGCAATGAATATCCGTAATTGATCGGCCAACCGAGTAATTAGCGCAGCTGTAATTGAGAGAAAATCGCGTTAAAGAAGCGCGCAAAGCGCTGAGCGGACAGCGTTTCCCGATCGCAATTGCATTTCCCATATTTGACGTTAATTGGCCGCGCGGGCAATTAGTTACAGTAATAATTGCGGAGAAACAAGATCCACACTGGTGCCAAAAACGCCGACTAATCGCGGTATTACTCATGATTAGTCATGGCGTGAAGTCAAGCAAAAAGTCTTTCAACATCCTGACATTATTTTAACCTACAAGGGTAATTTACATATGTTTCCTTGCGTTATTGTAGTCTCATCATTATAATTTAATTAGTTATTAATTGAAATAACTCATCTATAAGCGTATTCGGATTTCCACCTGAGTGCTTCCCGAGTCCTCCTCGTTTAACATTTAGTAAACAACAAGGATAGAGTGATATACATATACCTGAGTGGTACTCGGATGGGAATTTGAACATAGCCAGTGTTGTTCCCAGCAAATTGTGACATTTCAACAAAAAACAAAATGTCAGTTGTTAATTATAGAACCGTAAGAGACTTTTTGAAACATCAATACTTTCACATTCATCAAATTTTTTACGTCATTTAATTTTTACAAATTTAGACACACTCGTCAGACTAGCCGTTAACGTACTATAGACAAAAAAATATTTGTTTATCAATTGTACGGTCTTAAAAAGATTTTAGTATTTGCAAAAAAATATTGTTAATAGAAGTATTATTATTTCAATAAATATATTTATTTTGTACAAATAAAGTTAGATTCTTGCAACACAATAACTTCTTTTTATATTTAATAGCACTTTTACAAATACCATATGATAGAGAGGAAAGTCATCACTTTCTTTACTAATTAAAACTTTACTAACTAAAACATCATTATTTTGTAATTAGTTTCCCTCTGTGACCTATTTTAAGTGCATCCGTGATTATGTATATCTATATCAAAATCATGGATTACATCACAATCATGGATGTTAATTAATTAGCAAGAAACTAAATTAGTTTTTAATCGATGAAGAAAAAGTTTACAATGTGAGATTTTGTTGGATACAAATTTAATTAATTATTGCTCGTTTTTTACGGTATTAACTACTCTATGACAGAATTTTGATGAGTCAATCTAAGTACAGAACATTCAAGTTTTTGATATTTTTCCTCTCTTATTTCTTTTTCACATTCGTTGTTCCCTTGAGCACAATGAACAAATTTATAAATATGATATAGAAACAAAATTATTTTACTATTAGGATTAGATGCATATTATTTTAATTATATTGTACAACGTGTTAAAGATCATTAAAGGCACTTGGAGTAAAGACATTTAGAGTATTCTGAAAACTATGATTTTTAAAATAAGTTTTTTCATTTTTTTAATACGTCATTAGAGTAAGCAAATACTATAAAATAAATTTTTATACACTTTAAAGTCTAAAAGGTTTTAAGAAAATTGTCATTTAAAACATACGAACATGATAAAAAAGATTATAATTATTAAAGTTATCACATTGACAATAAAATATTTGTTACTATTGTGAATTTAAAAGAAAATGAATAAAAAATAAATTTAATGCTTTGATATTAAAAATTTGTAAATAAAAGAAAATCGTAAATCGTATATAAAAATATTTTGCCGTTTTAGTTATAAATTCATGACATTATAAACTAGATTTGTATTTTTAAATTTGATTTTCTTCGATAGATACAATAAAATGTAAAAAAAATAGTTCTTATACAAAAGTAAAAAAAAATATTTGAAAATCATGACGTAAAAACAAAATTGATCCTTTGGTAAGGTCTGTTCAACGACTCGCGAGAGATCGAGTGAACATATTTGCTCATCCAGGTGCGTTTCTCTCGAATCTGGAAAACGGCGATCGATGTAAAACTGTCGTGTAATATCGAATACGACGAAAACTTGGGTGAATCTTGAGCACGATAGCGGATTAAAGTTCCAAATCCGGCGGCTCGAGAAATAATATGCAGACGCGCAAGAGAGATACGAGGAGAGGCAGGAAATGAGAGCAACCGGAGAGAGAGTTGAAATTAAATTAAACTTTCGCTGCGATAAATCTTATTCGTTGAAGTGATATCTTCGCAAGATATTACGCGAGAGATGCGATCGATCGTCCGCTCTTTCATCTTGTCGACGGAAAATCATGATCGTCAAAAGTCCGAAGATTAATTCCTATTATATTTGCCCGCTCTATCATTTATCTTGACTAATCGCAAATTATTAATTATTGATATCATATATATTTACTCTTATGTACGTTTATATAAATATCTTTACAAATTTTTTATATTTGTAAGAGAAAGTATTGTAAAAATGTCTATAAGACATGTTTTATATTTATATATAATTTTCCCTTTTCAAAATATTTATTCTTTTTTTAGAATATTCCATATAATTAATTTGTAATTAATTATGTAAGTACGGTTATATATAAACAGATAATAAAATAAACAAAATATTTTCTATAGAGAAGTAAAAATGTAAAAAATACGGTTTCGCGGATATCGCAATACCAATTGAAGCAATTTATTTATTTGGCGTATAATAAACTTGCATGTAAAAATATATTCGTTGCACGGAAACTAATGAATTTCATTCCACCACGTTATATACCGAGTTGGCTCACTGAGAAGCATTTTTATTGTAATTGGTTATCACTATTTGATATATTGAAACGGACGTGGTTCTTTCTCTTTAAAATATGAAAAAATTATTTCGAACATGCGAAAATTTATCAAACCGCAATGTAATTAATATTTGCAGCGAGATATTGCCATGAAAATTTTTAGAAATCCATATTGCTTTTAGTCGGTAATATTATAAATTCTCTGCCTGTATATATACTTTTCTCTTATCTGCAATATGTATGTATAAACATACTCGCATTGAAAATGTTTATTGTATCATATTCACTCGTATGAATAACAATCAATTTCTAGATTTTTTATTTTTTCCTGAAAAGAAAATTACATATATACGTAATTTTTTAATATTTCAAATTGGCTCTCATTTTTCAGTATCTGCACTCTTAGCTTTGTATCACCAAAAATTGAACATATATATTAAAATATAAATGTACGTAAATTACAAGAGACATAAGTACCATCAGTATCTCGAAGGAATTGTGAGAACTCCATTTATGGAAACTTGATCTGTTTATTATTACCAAAAGTTATATCTCACTCTATCATTCCGTAAATTACATAAATTTCCAAATAATTTTAATATGTAATTAAATTTAGACTTAATTGTGCCTTTTTATATGAAAATAATTTAATTAATAAGCGTTTTCAAGTTGAAAAAAGGAACATTTACGATACGATGATATACAAAACGTTTTGCTGTCGTTCGTTGAAACATGATAACGATTACTACATCGTGGAGTACCACAAAAGTTGCATACATAAAAGCAGTCTCATGTATCCTTCTCCCTGATTTTTCCTCGCGCGAAACACAACTATTCGTCAACAGGGTGACGTCACGGGCAGTTTGCGAGAAAACATGAATTTGCACGGCGCATTAAAACAAATGGAATTTTCCATGATCCACCCCAAATGTCACGACGTTTCTGACATAACTAGCAGCGTCCAACAAGAAAGACCATCTTAATGGAAAAATTTATGATCACACATTGGCAGTCTTATTTGTCTTGCTGGTCGCAATTTGTGCTAGAATGAAGAAATTGGTAGCTAACAATTCTGATGTCATGCATGAATTTGTTTACGACAATGATAAGCGATTTAAATAATTTCTAAAGCATATTTGATAAATATACAGAATGGGAACAGATAAATATACACATTTTGATCAATTCTATACACAATTTAATCAAAATTTTTCCAAAATTATTGATAATACGAAAGAAGGTTTCAAGTAAAAGTGGAGCAGTTTCGAGGAAAACGTATTTTAAATTAAATATATACGTATTTTAGTCACGTTGTTTTTTTTCTATGTCGTATGGAATGCCAAACACATAGATATAAAAATTACCTCCACTTTTTTAAATTATATGATCTTTTTACATAATATGTTTCCTCTAATTATTCTGCATATAAGAATTAAGGCATTAATGTAAAAAAGCAATAGTTTATGACATATTTCATACTTTTATTCTGGCACATATTATATTAACATAAAATATTAAATATCTCGTAAACTATATATTAGTTTCTTAATATCTCTACCTTAATACTTTTATGTGTAAAATAATTAGAGAAATTATATTATGTAAAATAATTAGAGAAATTATATTATGTAAAAAAATTATATAAATTTATTTTAAAGAGTGGAGTAATTTTCATATATTTTTTAATTATTATAATAATTATGATTCTGATGAGAAACTCACGTTCGAAGTCATCTGTTTGGTTCCTCTTGTGATGACTGCGATGATGATGGCCAACCGGAATAGGGATCTGCTTCATGTTGAACAGATCCCGATGTTTAGCATCGATCAGTGGATTTTCCAACTGCGATTCAATCACCTCAAAGCTGGTGGAATTGTCCGGATGAGCGATGACCTTCACTGTAAATGATCGGATGTAACAAGTTGTGCACAAGAAGTTGCATTTTCAAGATAAATCCATTCCTAGGAGGAATTAAAAACACCTTTCTTCCGACTATATTACAAATAGCAGGTGGAAGTAAGAGCGTACGCAATTCGTCCGAAAATTATTTGGAAATCACTCTTATTTAAAATTGTAGCTATAGTTGTGTGTGAGCTACAAAATTTAATTCAAAGGTCGTTGTAAGACTGCAAAAACGTTTTTCTTTTTCTTAAGTTAATCCGCGAAAATATTTGTGCGGAAACGCGACTGCAAATGACGTTGCAGCGTGGGACGCGAAGAGTCTGAGAAATTAATACGACGGAACTAAAAGCTTTTTTTCTTGGCTACTATATAGTCGCATCGAAATGGACTAGAATGAGATAAATAATAAATCATGACTTTGCAACCAGTCCTAAGTGCACTTAGATACATTGAATAAAATTCTAATCCAGTTAAATAAAGGAATAAACAAGAAAAAATACATTATGCCAATTGTATTTCTGATTGCAATAGAATTTATTTAATTCTTTAATTCGTCAAAGAAAGAAGTCTACCGGATTATTAAAAATTTAAGAAAGAAAAAGTTAATGTAACATTTCAAATTTACAATTAAGATCTCTCTCTCTGTTTTTAAAATAATTTGTTTTAATAACATTTTAACAATTTTATGATGAGCAATAATAAAAACATAAATAAATTTTGGAAATGTGTGTGTGTTTGTATGTATGTGTGTGTATACAGGAGAGACTATAAAAATAAATTTATATTATATATATATATATTCCCTACATATTCGAAATAGACATTACGTTAACATAAACTGTACTGAAAATATTTATATATTTAAATTTTCTTTTATATTTGAAGAATATTATTCAATAATATTAAATTCAGTACACCTGAATTACATTTAGTATAATTAAAAAAATATATAATAGTATATCATCTCTCTATGTATATATAAATCTCAATGTACACAAATCTTTCTATCTATATACATATGTATGTATGTATATGTCTCAGATATTCTTATTATTTTAAAATATATGTCTCAGTACGTATATGTCTCAGATATTCTTATTATGTTAAAATATATGAAAAAATAAAGAATTGAATGTACTTGGTTTATATGGTTGTATTGTGTACCTATAATACAGAATATTTTGAATGTAAAAAAACATAGATAATATAATATATAAAATCATTCATATATTCATATATCTTCTAAAAGAAAATTCTTATAACCTATACGTTTTAAACATATGTACCTATGTTGTTAGATAACGCGCGCGCGGGTATTTGCGCGTGCATGCGTGTGCGTGCGGGTGTAATTAAAACATTATCTTTTCTTAAAAAAAAAAGAACATTATTTTGCCTTAATATTTTCTACCATCTCTCTGTCAAAGACAGTCAATTTTACAAATATTTATTCTTCGATTTTTAAAATTTGGTTTTAAAAATAATTAATTATATTCAGTTTTTTTTCTAAAAATTTGTATGTATACTGCATGAGGTAGTCTAATAATTTCGCAAAAGAATGCTTTTAATATAATGTAGAACCATATTTGAAACGTTAAAAATATCTCATAGTGAGTTAAGAAGAAATTAAAGGACAGAATAAATAATATAATACTCTAGAGATATCAACCTGAGCTTTTAATGATTATTGTTCTATTTTACTATTAAAAATTAATTAATTCGCAATGCAGTGTTTCCACTTTGAGGAAAAATTTCAATTTGCGGGGAATTTTTGTATCATTGAGAGGAGAAAAGGGAAAAGAGAAAAACGCGCGGTGGAAAATTCCAAAAAATTAGAAAACAATAAAATTTTTTTCTTTTATTAATAAAAAACGCAAAAATTTTAAAACAATTATTATAACGGCCTTGTGCTATCAATATCGGCAGCTATCTAGAGATAAGAACATTTATGTCTATGTTTCGGTCGTCATCATTATAAAAATCTATAATTTACGTTATGTATACTAGATTTTCAATACTAACAGTGCACATTAAAATACGGCAAATATGTATAATATATATAAAAAGACGTCTTATATATAATATAAACTGATATACAGTACTAAACAAGGGTTCGATTATGTATTGTATTATATAACCTAAAACTATAAAATAAAATTACAAAATTAAGTAAATTTATATTAATATATTTAATTTCATTAGTTAATATTTAATAAATTTATTTTATAATTTTTATTAAGTTGTATGATATACAATCGATCCCCTATTTTATACATAATAATAAAGACACCTTACACACAAAGAGTTAGTGATATAATATTACAGAATGCTTTATAATATAATATACGAGTATATATAGATATAACTTCAGAAATGGAATTTAGAATGTAAGAATAATACTAAAAATGATCGTTTTAATATTTGATGAACGTTCGTTACAAATTGAACTAGAGTAGTATCTTCATACATTTCTGTCTTTATGCTGATGCTAAGATGTGTAAAGATATGAAGATACTACGCTGGATTAACTTGTACTGAATCACATCAGAATTAAACATGATAATGTTTGTCATAGGAAACAAAGTGAAATAGAATAGATGTTTTTATAAACTTTTTTGTACTATTTTTATGCCTTCATTCACTTCTGAAATTACGTTTATACGTTATAAAATATTTTGTATAGACCGTATTCCGATATTCACTGCCAGTACTGAAAACCTCTCACAAAATCTATTTAATAACAAAAAATTAATTGTTCCGCAACTTTTATTTTTAAGAAATGTTCTTCCCATTTGGTTATATTAAATATTATTAAAATATATTTAATCAATTTTTTATTGAATATTATGTTTAATCTGTTTGCTTATTCTGAATCAAAACAGCACGTTTAATCTGATTGCGAGAATAACAACGCGCGATAAAATAAATTATAAGAAAATAAAATAGATGCTTTAAATATAAAATTTACAAAATTTCTTATTAAAATAAAAAATATGAACATGTGACCCCTACTCTCTTGAAATAATAAAATTTAAAACATTGAGAGAAAGGGTTTTGTTAATTTAACATCATGGTACCTTTAATAAATGATTCGTAGATAGTGATAACAAATTATTGTTTCAATATTTGTCGTAATTGATGCTAATCCAACTGCTATTCCAACTAATTATTAGTAATAAAAGCAATTTATATAAAATCTAGCCTTTTTTACTTTTATTTGCTAGCAATACTAATTATTTTGATCTCTATTATAAATCATATATTATTTATTACATTAAAGAGTAATGAGAAATTATTCGCAATAGTAACTGATCAATCCATTTTCCCACCAAGCTATCACATTTGTTTTTTTTTTGTTTCTGTAATAAATCCATTTCTCTCAGTAAATAACAACATTTTTATGGGAAGATATTTTAAGATAAAGTGAAGGAGAAAAATGGTAACTTTGAAGGAAGAGACGAGATACATATATATGTATGTTTAAATATGTATATAAATATATATGTACACAAGAGAATATCAAAAGTATTTTAGTAGAAACACTGTATCAATGAAAATCTCATAAATTTGAAAGTACCTACAATTATAATTTAACTGCAATGTTACGTATGTATTTCTCATAAATAATTAGTTTCTTTTGTAGCTAAATAAATTATTAAGCGAGGACATGAATGAGTGTGTATCGTATATACACTTTTATATATTTTTCATGTAATTCTATATATATAAAAGTAAAAAAAGCGGAAATCCTAAATTAAAAATTTAATCGTTATATTGTAAATTACTACTATAAATATTGTTACCATAAATAAACATTTTTAACAGTTTTATCTGAAGAAGATAATTAATAATATTAAATTGTATATAAGTAAAAATTTTCCAGACTCTCATATTTTTTCCATTTCCTAAAGATATATACCAAGCCGAAGTAAGGTATAAAAAAAGTACACGTTCGTGTCCATCAGTGTCCGACTTACTCACGCAAACTAAAAACTTTTCAAGACATCTAACGTGTCGTCTTTGGACACGTCCTTCGGCGGCTTGACAAAATCCCGAGATCTCTTGTGCGCGCCGATGGGTCCGGTACGAACCTTGATCGACGAACTCTTCGCGAAAATCGAAGATCCGATCGAGGGGCGCGCCGGCTGGCCTGATTTCGAGGTCATCTAAGTCGTCGTCGGCGCGGTCGAAGATCGCGCGGTGCTCATAGGTGGGCCTAGGCGCAAACTTCCTCGGGGCCGGCAGCCGCGGCGATTCGGCATGGCCGGGCCCGTGGTGGGCCCCCAACGGCTCGTCCAACACGGTAGGCGTGGGACGAGCAGCCGCCGGCGCGTACGAGCCCGCCGACGACGACGACAGCGTCGCGACGACGGACGGCGGTGCGGGTAGTGAGAGGTGCTGACGATGGTGCTGGTGCTGTTGGTGATGGTGCCGATGCTGGTGCGGGTGCGCGTCATGCTCGCTTTGGGGCTGCAGGTGCACTGTGCCGGAGGCGCGATCATGCTTGGACAACGAAGACGAAGAAGAAGAAGAAGAGGAGGAAGAAGAAGAAGAGGAGGAGAAGGAGGAAGAAGATCCATCCGTCGACCGATCCAGATGATTAACGCCTGGACGCGAGGTCGCCGCACGATCCTCGAACCGATTCACGTCGGTCTCGTACCGGTCCGAATCGGTCCGAGGGTCGTATGTCTCGACAACGAGGACGGCTGGCCTGCCGGGCAGCTCCGGCGCTTCCTGGTGATGATGTCGATCGCCGTGACGGTGGTGGTGATGATAGCGGTCGCCGGGCTCCCGTATGTCGTACGTGCTGTCGGGGTCGTAGTACGGCGGAGTGCGCGCGGTCCCGGGGAACAGAAAAGAGGGGTACATACTGGTCGGCGGCAACCAGATCTCCTGGTAGTTCTCCTGCTGTGGGTCGAACGGGTACAGGGCCGAATCCGTGCCCGACAGGTCTACGGAGGTGGAGGAGGGCAGGACCTCTGTAACACAGAAGCAGAGCCGCGGACGAGAACGGGGTGAGTGAGGGTGCGCGTTCGCCATCGGTACGCAACGTGCGAGGGTCTGCGTGCTGTTGTTGTGGGGTTAAGTGTCGTGATGGTGATAGTAGTAATGGTTATAGTGGTAGTTGCACAGTGCACGGGCGTTGACGAGGGATCATCACGAAGAAGAAGCTCGACATCATTGGGAAATAACATATCACTTTTTAATTATTTGTCCAGATAAATAAATCACATGAATATAGAATATTTATCGGTGTATCGAGACGCGAGGATAAAAGAACATAATTGTGAACATCATACTCAAAGATTAATTTTCAGCATTTAAATTAATATCTTTTTGCGTTTATGTGATAATTTTTTAAATGTATCTGTAAGTGAATTAAACGATACAAAAGATACAAAGTGATAGAAGTGATAGCTGAGATATTAAATGTAAAGATAAGATTATGTATAAAAAGTAATTAGGAAATCATAATTGTAAAGTATTGTAATTAAAATATATTTAGATTAATTATTAAACGAACAAATATTGAAATAATATTATACGTTAAAATCGAATATTTAATTCCGATTATCACTTAATGGAAAATTAAAAATTTTTTAAAGATCTTAATCTTTTCAGAAAATGTCACATCTTTATTTGTTGTATACATGCACTTATAATAAATATACCTACGTAAGATGTTTGTTGAGAATTTCTTTTATTTATTATTTTCTTGTATTTTAGTCTGTATTTAGTGAGTTCTTTCTTAACAAAAGATTTTTTTAGATCTCTTCTCGGTAATTCTAAAATTTTATATCATAAAAAGAATAGATCATATTAAAAAAAAAATCATCACTTACAGTTAGAATATGTTATTTTCTCATAATATGTTAGAAAATACCTCAATATTTTATTGAAAAATTAGTAAAAGTTTCTCTCTATAAGCAAGACGTATAGGTATAACAAAATTAAAATTTCTCTTTATTTTATCATTCTACAATTGAAGACTAATAAAAATAGATAGGATGTCATGTACAAATGTAAGAAATAATTTTAAGAAGAGCATAATAATTGCGTATATATATATATATATATATACATATATATATACATATATATATATATATACACGTGTACATATTGAAGTTTCATTACCGCTTTTAATGTCTATTTAAAATAATTGATATAAAAATTGGTTTAAAACTGCTTTTAACAAATGAGAAGATATCATAAAAATATCAAGATATAATTAAAAATGATGTCATTCATAATTTAATTAAATCCAGAATCAATTTAATTCTATTACTGTCAATTATATATACATGAGTTAGTTTTATCAAAAGATATACTTTCCATTTATTTTCTCATACTGTCTAATGTTCTTGAGTTATAATTCTACAAAAATTTATTTCACTAAACACGTTTCCGCCATTACACTTCTACGTATATTTCTTAATGTTACCGTTATTTTAATTCGCGTAATTAGTTAATCATGCGCCGCAGTTATATACTCTAAGCGCGTTATTAAAGAGCAGCAAATATCTTCCTGTGTCCTCACGACGATGTTAGCGTTTTCTCGTTTGTCGAAAGTGATGGTGCGACGCGAAATAAAAAGTCGATATAAGAAGACGAAGTTAAATGAACCGGCCCGTAATCGAAATCGACAGGCGATCTGGCGTATCTTCCTGAGAGGATTTTCGGGCTCCTTCGAGAATACTGCGGCACTTGAAACTCCGTCCAGAGTAGAAGGATCCTCGTATTGAGCGTTACTGCACGCGAGAAATTATCCCGGAGCGACGCGTTGTTCGCCAAGCGTGATTTCGTTCTTAAGAGATTTTGGGATTCTCGAGGGAGGCCGTGGAACGCCGACTAAGAGAGTTAACCCTCGGTTTCATGTCGATCATTTTATTTTTTTCGTAAACGAAGGAAATAAAAACTCGAGTATTTTATTGTGCGAACACAGTAAATTATTTTGCGGAATTTTTTCTTATTCCACATTGTGTATTTTTCTTTTAACTATCGCATTTCATTTTTTAATTCGTAGTCAAAATTTTTATTGCACATTTAGTAAAAAAAGAGGTTTTAATATAAAAGTAAGAGATGTATGATAATATTGTTATATTTACAAATTGTTTTTTAAATATCTTACGATTAGTAAGAAATAAATATATCGGAATTAAATATAATATATATAATAATATATATATTCGCAAATTTATTATAATTTCTATTTAAAACAAAAAATATATTTAAATAGTAAAAAAGTTTTATCAAATACCTCCCTAGATTTATTTACTGAATACTTTTACTAGAATACAGAAAATGGATTTTAAAAAAATCAACAAATTTTACCTTTTCAATTAAATTTTTTATTGGACGTCAAATTCAAGCATCAACTATCAACTTGTTCCATTTATCTAAATGTTTAATTTGCTGTCGAAATAACTCTGATAACCATCCGACGTTCTCTGATAAATCGTTTGGCGACGTTGAGGAACGAAGGGGAGTATAGTGAGTCGAGTATAGAGAGTAGACAGAGTTGTAGTAGGCGTTACACACACTAACAAGCTACACACTTCAGAGAGAAAACAAGCCATAAGTTACAGGCATGCAGGTGCCGATTCGTCAATTCCTTAGTACGGATTCTCGACATGCAGAAATACGACATGCGGTGCACAATTCCTGGTGCGCTCCGCCCCGCAGGATCGTTCGCGAGGCTCATCGCCGCCACCTTGGACTCGCGTTTCATCCGTCAAGCGTACGCGTTTCATATTTCACGGTGCGAGCAATCTCGACCGTTCGCGACGTCGATTCGTCGCGCTGGATTTACGACGACAAAGGAAAATTGCCGGTATCGATGCGAGCAATCGAATGTTGTCTTATCAGATGTTCTATCGTCAATCGAACGGTACAAAGAATTGATAAGGCGATATGCTACGAACTTTGAGATTGATAAAATCGGAAAAGATTATGAACAATATGGAGTTATAACTGAGTGACACACAAATAAATGTAATTTACAAATATATGATTAAATCATAAATTGTTCTCTTATAATTATTCGTAGGTGCTCTTATAATTATTCGCGAAGGGAAAGAAACAATTGTATGATCCAAAAAGTAGTTTTCCAGTTATAGTATGGCCGTTAAAATAACAAACTAAGAATTCAATGACCGCGAGTATAATGTAGCGATATTCCCGTTAGACCGTTTCGTTTAGATAGCGTTCTCCATCTCGTCGATCTATCTCGTGGGTGTTTGTCGATGGAGCGCAAGCAAACGCGCGAAATATTTATGACATTTACGCGGCAGAAATGTACATACGTATAATGTACGCCGGGTGGCAGACGGATGAGGCAAGAGAGACACTCGGGGATAGTCTTCAAGGGCGGTGGCGAGAATATTGGTCTCGAAACGCGAATCCTCCAAGGGCGGAGCGCGTCCTCCTAAGGGGTGCCGAGGTGCGCTTTCTCGTGCAGACATTTCTCTCTCGTGCGTTCCGGGATTTCGAGAATCGATCCTCGCGCTTCCTCGGGCCTCCCTCCGTGCGAAACGGACGTCCCTTCCTCTTATGGACCGAACCGGCGGAGGAGGAGAACCCTTTCAAATATCGATCGAACTTTTCGAGACATTCGATTCTGAGTATCATGCGCTCTGTTACTTCTCTGGTGTACCTCCGTTTTATTAACCTCGAATAAGTGAGATGCAATAGACCTTGCGATAATCAGAATAGTTACAGAAGCCATGTATGTAAAGAACGGCTTTGCTAAAGCATCTAAAAACTTTTGTTATACACAAATCTAAAAATGACTGTTTTGGACTATGAAAATAATTATGTAGGACACTTAAACTGATTGCTAGAATATTACTTTTTGCAGTATTATTGAGCATTGAGCGTTTTACATCATTATTTTAATGGTTTAGCAAAATTATTTTCAAATCTGTGTCTAGCTAAATTTTCAGATATTTGAGCAAAACTATTTTTCCCATGTGGTAACGTTTATAAAGATATGGCGTTTACAATTTAGTAGTTTCATTTTGTAGATTTTCATACTTTCATATACCATAGCGAAAATATAGCTCCTGAATGGCGGTCATAAAACATCTCACGTTGTTCGAGATATTACACTTTCGAAATGTTATTCACCCTGAAAGTGCGACGATCGTTGGAGTCACAGAGTCACACTTCTTTACGTATCAGTGTATAAGAGGACGATTTGATTTTTATATCAACAAGCAAAATTGTTATCAAAATAATAAATGCGTTTGTCATACAAAATTAACTTAAGATTTTGCGCTGTTATTTTAAAACAATTGGCTGCTGTGTTGTGATGGTAGATATTTGCAGTTGCAATCAATCTACTTATTATAATTTGTTCTATTGAGGTTGGATCTTGAATGTTTATACATATATGCGTATATATGTTACAAATTATCGCAATTTTATACCTAATTATTATTTTTCAAATAATATTCGAATTAATATCTAACTTTGTATAAAAAGGTAAGTAATTGAAATATATAATATTTAAGTAGTTAACTTAATTTTTCAAATCAATAATTGCTTTCCGTTCGATTAATATATCTATTAATAGTACGCTATTAAATTAAATGATATCATGAATCGCCATCTATTACTCAGACAATCAATGGCTAATAAATCGTGTAAATATTAAGAAAAGTTTATATCAGTCAAATATAATATAATCTTTCTAATCAATATATAACCTACCAAAAATGGACATATAATCAAATAATATGTTCGATTAAATCTTAATAATAAAACGTCTGAGTTGTTTCTTCCTGTCAGAGATTCGATCATTTGTAACAACAAGAAATAATTTAATTTGATTGCAAAGTAGTTCGAGCGTTTACACAAATTTCCTGTTAGAGGACAGCATTCCTTCTCCTTTCTCGTCCTCCTTTCTCCTTCATTGTTATTCATACACCTACCGTCTGGTTGTTCAATATCTTGGGGAAAGAAGAACGGAGGACGGTGAAGGGCCCATTTAAAGTCGCGCTTCCAATCTCAATTTAAGATCCAAATCTACATATCAGGTGAATCGTTTAGTATCATGGGTTCAAATGTCTCGTTTATATTGTATGAGACTGTGATGTTGGTAATATCGCATTTTCAAAAAGGTATTTAAAATTTTTTAAAGGTAGAAGTTGGTAAAGCTTTTAGGAACGTGTGATTATAAATATCAAATAAACTAAAATGTTAAAGACAAAACGTTCAAACTTAATCCAGTGTGTGAGCAAACAGAAATATTTGCAGATAATAGAAATATTTTTATAAAATAAAATAATTTTAAAATATAAAAATATTTACCAAAGTAATTAAGGTATAATTTAATCATTAAAATATTTTCGCATATTTGGAAAGTGATTGATTCATTGGATCAAATGAACAAATGATAAAATGTTTCGAAACATTATAAACATTCTTTTCTATGGAATATAATAATTACATCGTCAAATTGTTATTTGATCGCTTAAGAAGCAAATTTTCAAGTATTTGTCATTTAACTTGATTTCATATACCAATCTGGACACTAAATTGTATCAGTTTGTAATTGTAAACTAAGTTGTCATCGACGTAACGTACAACATTTAAAATTAGTTGGAAACTGTAGCGAAGGGAAAAGCAGAATTTCTTTGTCTCGCGATGTAAAGTAGTTTGCTGCTTGTCGAGAGCTAAACTGAATTGTTTGTACATTATGTCCGTAGCGCCGGATGTTAATTATGTTATAACATTGTTACCGGTAATTATTAATTGTTCGTTTATGTTTCTGTGCTGAAAACTGCTCTCATCCAGTCACGCATTCCACAACTGTTAATGCTATCGTAGAGTGTGTATGCCACGTTCATCGCTCGCACTATGCATCGTTGGCGCGATTCATTCGTCAAACGCAACGCAAGAGACACATTTGTCACACATGCGTGTGATGCGTGTAAAGATACTTACGTTTCATGTGCGCGTTGCACGCTTGAGTTTTATGTTGCTTTAAATTACAATTGCGAGGCACGGGCGGAAGCATTATCGATCCTGGACGCACAGTTGGAAATCGACAATCAAGCGAAGTACGAATTAAAGTAGAATAAAGTGTCAAGTAACTAAAACAAAATAGAGTATTATATATATAAATTAAAATACATAATAAACTAAATAAATAAATTGTAATTATGCGGTTCAAATATAAAGATTAAAAAAAAGAAAAAGATTATTAATTTTTACAAAAGATTTGTATATTAACTTTTGATATTAACTTTTAATATCGTATATGATATCAAGCCAAATGATATCAATATTACATTGAATGTATATTAAGCATTTTATTATTATTTAATATATGTAAATAATTAATACAGAGAATAGTTTTAAAAATATAATATAAATCAAATTAATTTATATTAGAATACATTGAAATAATATAATTTAGATCAGTAGCATATATATGTATTTTAAATAAATTTATATGAAAAAAAATATGATTGTGCACCGATTACTTTGAAACTTTTAACAGAATAAATCTGAAATACAATTAATCCCCTCAAATTTCATCGTTGATTATTAATATTTCAGATTGGTTGTGTTGAAAGTCTAAAAGTAATCGGCACGCAGTCATATTTCTGAGATAAATTTATTTAAAATACGTATATATGTTTCAGTCTAACTTTAATTTTGACGATTTTCATATTTAGTTAACTCATTAGTGTAGACGGTTATGTTCCTAATCTTAATAAAACTTAATTTCGCAAAAGTATGTTTCTATTAGGAAAAATGTTTGTTTCTAAAAGTGCAGTTGTTGCAGCATCTCTAAAGCATCGGTTATTATCAGCCTCTCAAAGTTAAGATTCATTGTTATCTTCGTTTTAATGCCTGCATCTCTCTCTTTAGTTAATTATGAAGAAAGCTTATCCGAGGGTGAGGATAACGTTCTCCGACGAGCCTTGAACACCGCGGTATCGCTTAAAAGTAATTGCCCCGTCGAGCAGTATTCTACCTCGCTCGCAACTTTGATGCCAGGGAAAAAATGAGAGAGTAACAGGAAGTGGCTTTAGTTTAGTGTACGTCAGTTCTCAGCTGGAAGTCCGCTTTAAACACGAGACTGATGCTACAATCTTCTCGTTTATGTACTTTGTTGATAACAAATTTCGCACTTCGTTGCAGGAATTTCAGAATGCCGCGTCGATTATGTATACAAACGCAATTACCATCGTAGTTATTAATAAATTATTAATTTAAAATTACCAATTAATTAATCTTTTAGAAATTATACTTTTTACATCTTATTTGTAATATATTACATAATATATGTACATCTGTATGTATATATTTTTTAGTATTCTTTCTTCGCGAGATACAGGCAATATATGATTCTTAAATAAAGAAGAATCTTTTTTATTTAACAGAATAAATAGTTTAATTGAATAATAGAATGATATATCTGCGATACGTTAATAATATTGTTGTGTGTGTTTCCTACAAATTAATTTAATATAATATACTTCTGTTTGCGTTTTTCTGTTGTTACTTTTAATTCTTGTTCTTATATAAAATGTTTTTTCAAAATTATTAAAAATATTTTATTATTTGTTTCTTGGCTCGTAGCCCTTCTACACATATTATTTTAATATAATATATTCTTATGTAGAAAAATATAAAATATTAAGTATAACTAAATCTATTTATAATAGACAATAAAAAATTTCTTTAACCGTACAATGTGTCAGTTTTTCTTAAATAAAACTTGTACACATTGAAAATCTGTACGCTGTGATGCTTGCGATCTATCACTGTGGTCCAGGATCAATACGAACGCTTCAATGCATACATCGACAGAAAGAAACCAAATGAGAATTCTGTACAAGATACACACAGACAGACACGCAAGGATAAAATCCGTAAACTCAACGTAGATATGATAGAAAAAACTTTATATATATATATATCCAAAATTACTTCACAACATCAACAATCGCCTTTCACAAGGTGCTAATATAATTATTACTTATTCATTCATGTCACAACATTATGTTCGAATCTCAATTCAAAGTAAAACTTATCAAATGAAATTCCTCGTACACGTAGTTACGCGTCACATGATGTGCATTTAAATCGTGCATTTAATTGCATAATAAAATTTAATTTGACAAACTTTTCATTCGGCATTAAATTTGCAAATTATATTTATACCAATAACTAAACTAAATAATAAATTTACATCTGCGCGATGACTTAGTACGATTAGCATTTCATATTCAATAGTAGAATAAATTAAATCCCTATTTCTTGCAATTGAATGGCGATATTACAATTATGTGGTATGCTGATAGAATATATAAATTTAGTATTCCACAAGTAATTACATGTACGATGGAAGTATGTATGAATACATACACGGACAGAAAGAGAGAACTTTACGAATTTTCATATTATTGTGGTACTCACCAACGCAGGGATTGTGGTTCACCGTCGAGAAGATCTTGTCGCATCGTCGCTTCATATGATTATTCGGACATATGCAGCCGAACATTGGCGATAGTCGCAGTTGCGTCCAGGAATCATGGCAAGCATCTCTAAAACAGTAATAGAAGAAGAAAGGTGATGACGTATTGCATAAAAATTACTAATTATGTAAAAAAAATTTGTTACATAAAATATATGACAAATATATAAAGATAAAGATACACACACACACACACACACACACACACAAAATAGTGAACAAGATAATAATATAATAAATAAAATAGGCCTCCCCGTGGTAAGAGATGTTAACTTCATGAATGAAAAACGTGTGCTGTACGTTTAAATGCAAGATTTGAAAAAATATTAACAACAGATCACTGTGCTGCATAATCGTGACCCACCGCTGTATAAATATTATTAATTAATCGCGTTGAATTCCCGTTTCGCCTTGGGCCGCGTAAATCCCTCGCGCAAAGGATTAATGACTGGCCATCAAATATCGGCGTTTTGCCAAGTACATCGACCTACATCTGGTCCCCAATAGCCGTTAATAAATATTAAAATACGCAAACTCCGATATTCACCAAACTACCGTATATACCATCGATATTTCGCTATTTTTGCACATGTCTGTGTTCCAATAATCCGTGGTAATTGCAAGACATTATCGATGCGATACATATCGGAATTTCAATACGCGCATAATTAGCGATTGCTACTTTCAATGTATCCTATAAAGCGATATGAAATAGCATGCCTTTTATAAAAGTCGTCAATTTTTATTTATTACGTGACATAATATAATACACACACACACACGCACGCACGCACGCACGCACGCACGCACGCACGCACGCGCCACATAACTGACCTATATATAATAAATTTTGTATAACTCTCTTAGGAAATTATAAGAATACCTCGGCACGAAACTACTAAAATAATTGCATGAAAGTCTGTAATATGTACAGACAATTTATACATAATAAGAGATATAATTTTAATGCTTCACATTTTGTAACGAAGTTCATTTATAATAAACTATTAATAAGATACTTGTATATATATATATATATATATATAATAGCACATTTAAAATTCAGATAATAATTATTATCTTATTTTTACATCAGACACTACTTTGAATGATTTTACAAGTTTAATATTAAAAATGCATATACATATTATTAAAATTTTAAGAGATAAGAATAGACATAAATTTATATTAGCGTTAAACCTTTTATAGCTTTGTAACTATTTAATAAATTCGAAGAGATTTCTTTTTTTAAATACATATTATATAAATCTTATATTTGAAATATATGCAAATTAATGATATAATATAACTAATTTTAATGAAGTATGAGAAAAGGTTATCATATTTTTTAATATTGTGCTTCCTTCTTTGTTATTGTTTAACAATTGTACGGTCATCTAATTAAAAATTAAAGATTCTATTATTTGTTATTATATTTTTTAAATTTTAGAGAAAAATAAAATAGAATTTACGCTCGTATCTCTGTTTAGGCCTTGTTTTCACAATCTATGGTTATACTTAAAGATAAAAGGGTTGCCAAGAAATTTATAAATGAATTTCTTTAATAAACTTGTGGTGACCTTTAGATAATTATTGTGAAAATAGACTAAGCTAACAATAGCTAAGATACAAATTTCCATGATTTAAGATATTGACAGTTTTGTATTTAAACAAAAATTTGTATTTTCATTTAAATGACAACAAACATTTATATTTTCACAAATCCATAAAAATTTCTTTTCTATATAAGAAACATAATTATTTTTTGTGTTTCATAAAATAAAAATAACACCAAAATTTACGTTTCACCCAAATATGTATGTTACAGTGGCGCGCCCTATATTATATATAGATATAAAACATAAAACAAAGAACATCCAATTATATAACTGATTGTTATACATATAATAGAAAGAAAGAAAACTTTTGAAAGCCAAAGTAGAATTCTGCTTATTCTCTTCTTATCTTATCAGTCCAATTCACGTGCATACATTCTGTAGATTATAGATACACTGGTAAACTTCGATCGTCAAAGCTATAAATCGTAATTTTTTTTCTCTTCACCGTTGAAACTTTCGTTAGCTTTGCAGGAGTCAATCGCGGGTTATACTACGCCTCATATCTGACGCGAGAACCCCGATCGGGAACTGAAATGTACTCAACTCTTTCCTTCCACTTCCCGTCGAAAGTAACGTAGAAACTTTACGCGAATCTAGACCAATTGACTTTCGAACTTACACGAGAACGCTTAACGGACCTTTCCTACACACCGACAATCCGCCACGAAGTAACAACTCGATGTAGTTCAATGCACTCAGTGATGCACTGAGCGATTCAAGTTACTTCACTGATGATAAGAAATTACATTAGACGTTAAAAAAGAAAGAATTGGATTGAAAAAATTATTTTTTTAAGCATCTTAAAGTAATTATCATCTTAATTAATGAGTTTGATGACAATTAATGTATTATAACAAAGTAAACAATAATAATGCTATTAATATAATAGCAACTATACAATTCATTTATATGATTTTTCAAAAATTAAATTTTTACGTGTTTAATATAACATTCGAGCTGCATTGAACATAATTTTCTTATTAAATCAATATACTGGTAATTTTCTTAACGAGAGAAAAAAATTAGAATGAGAGCGTAAAGGAAAAATAGGTAAAGGGAAATTTGATGTGGAAACTCTCAAGCTCAAAATTATTTGGGGTAATGGCACACACGCTACGGTGAATCTTGCTCGAATTAGAGGTCAAAGGATGGCAAAGCTTGAACTGAAGAGAGACGAGATAAGAGTGGGAGCGGAAGATGCATCAAAGGGTGCAAAGGTTTTCCTAAGAACGAAAACGCAAGTCACGTTTCATTCCGCATCCTGTGATTTTGTTTGACTTCTCTTTCTTTCTATACGAACGATGTCGCCAAATATTTTTATTATTGTACCGTAAAACTCTAAAGTATTTATTGTTATCTTTGTAGAAATGTTTAAATAATTTTTAGAATATGGGTGGACATTTCTACGTCATAAATGACATAAAAATGTAAAGTGTTTAGTATTTTGTATATGTTAGATCATTTTTGTTAAGCTTACATTCAAAAAATTTATTTTGTAATTATACCTATATATACTCTCTTTCTAAATTTTTTTTTCTTTATAATAATATATTAGGTATGTAAATAAATTCTCGCGGCTTTCCTTTCAAAAACTATTTACAAAAGCAAAATTTAAGAAGCAAATAATTTGATTGAAATGTTTGTATCATAAATAGTACAAACATTTTAATAAAATTATTTGCTTTTCAAAGTTATCATTTTTTTTGCTACCGCTTAAACAATATAAATGAATACTGTGTATCATATGCGGAAAAATACTTAGCAATTTATTTTCACATCATCACTTTTAAATCTTTTAAACCCATCTGGACGCGTTCTTAGACACAATATTGTCTCCACATAAGTCTTATAAATTATTCTGGAAACTTGATGACGGTTTTAATGTGATGCAATAAAAATAGTGAAACAAGCAATAACGAATATGCACATTTTCACTAATTAAATTAAAAATGTAGTCAATTGTTTAATTGCGAATTGTTATATAACTTTCGAAATGTAGGAGAGCTAACCTTACTAATGGAAAGATAATTAGATGCAAAGTTGACGACGGGTACTTATTTATATACATTAGAATGCCTCATAAATATATCGTTTCCTTTACTTCAAAAGTTGCATGATTCAAAAAATTAAATTTTTCAGGAAAGAGAGAAACTATTTTTCAACCTGATAGAAAATGATATTAACTAATTGAATAATATAAAAAAAGAATATTCTGATCAAATGACATTTCGTCATTTTCGTTTCACTATACCTTTAAAAATCACTCTTTTTGAGATGTAATGATTTTTGATACTCTATAAAATTATCATAAATTTGAAATATAACGAAACATCAAAAATGATATAATTCGAAATATCAATAACAGTTTATATTGTATTTTTACCTCTAAAATAACTAAATTTAAAATAAAATCATTTCTTCTTTAAACTTTAATCATTAAAATTACTTTGATTCTAAATGTTCTTTATAGTAGGTTCTTTTTACTTATACAAACGACACAGCTTAAATACGTTATTCTTATAGAAAATATTCTAATCTTTTTGAAAACGACTCAAGTGCTATTTGCCGAACGGACTGTGAAGTTAAGTTAGTTTACTTTTAATAATTGATGAAGTGTAATCTTTACTTAATTCATTGATTCATAAATTAGGTGAAGATTACTTTACCAATTATCAAAAGTAAACTAACTGTACTTCACATAATAACTAGAAAATATTATATTTTTTGAGATGTGTTATTGTTGAAGTAAGAAATTCGTATATATTGTACATATATTAGATTTAGTTTTAAAAAGTCTGCAAATACTTTTAACTGTCCTGATGTCTCTTTATTTTGCAATAATATATACTTTTCCATTCTTTATGCTACATCATTATTTTCTTGCCATTACACCCGATCGCTTTGCTACTATTGCATTCATGTGGCAACTGCAAGTTTCGCGCTGCACAAAGCAAAGTTCCGACGAATTTCGCGACCCAGTGACCTGCGCGTTTACGCCACTGCATTGGTGTAAATAAATCGCGTCACAAAGATATGAATGCGCATAACCGGGTAAAATAAGAAACAACGAAAGTTGGGATTCATGATCCTCATATATCGAAATCGCCGACCCAAGAATCCGTTGGTTCTGCATCTTAGGTATATCCAATCGATAAGTGGTATATTCGTTTCCGCTCCATTGAGATCGAGAAAACTGTTTCGAGGAAAGTTTACTTCTTGAACAATACGTTCTTCAAAGTAAACCCGCTTCTACTCAACTTCAATTTCAAAGTTTTCTAAATTTCGCAAAATGATCAAGAAATCCCTTGTAGAGTATTGATTTTCGAAAAGTGCAAGATTGATTCAAATAAAAAGTTAAATACATAGAAAGAAATTACTTAATCCAGAATAAAACATAAAAATAAAATAATATACAACATTTATTGCATAGCACAGTATTTTTAAATAACAT